AGACATATAGATTCACAGTTGTAACTTGTTGACCACATGTGGCTTCAACATGACAAGCTAAGCAGAAAAGTTGTGCATTTGTGGCTCCTTACTTGATCCGCATTGCACGGCGTACAGTATGTCTCCCTGGCTCTATTGCGCTCTGCCTTTTTTGCCAAAGATAAGATAAGAAGCACATGCGGGTCGGGTCCCACCTCCTGGCAGAGGGAGTCCCAGGCTGATCTGCTGCTGACGCACACAGTCCCCCCCCCCCCTCCTCCCCCTGTCCGTCCTGCTCCGGCCTCATGTCAGTGAAGTGAAAAGTACTACCTTGGCAATTTGCCCTTGACTCGCCGCCAGAAAGACTGTAGCTTTAACAGAAGTGGTCTTTTCCCTGTTTTCATCCTATATTCATTTGTCATATATGAGCTGGCTTCACTTGTTCTCCAGCGCCGCCACAATTGTTACAGGAGCGTGCCACTACATTTGAGTTAAGTGATGTTATCTTGCAGTGGTAAGATGGGGGGGGGGGGGGGGATTTACAATTTTGTTAATGCTTTGTCTGGAATGTATCACAGTATAGCATTAAAACTTTCTATCGGTTACAGGTCAGATCGGTGGAGAGGGGACCCCGCTCACAGTCAGAATGCCTGTTTTTCTGGGTATTTTTAAGCTGTAAAACCACCTGTAATTGAATAAATGTAAAGTAGAGCCCTTTAAAGTCATACTATGTAATATTTTAGGCAGAATAATGACGTTATGTAGTGGAAATTTATAAAGTCTGTTGTGGCTTTTCAAAATTTCTGTCAGTGTAAGCTTGTTGTTTAGAGCAGAGTTTAAACTAGAACTGATTAAATGTTTTTCATTTTAAATAAAAGAAATTGTTCTAAACATGATCAACCAACACAATGGGTAGATTTGTTTGCCCTATAGCCTAGTTTACAAAGTTGCGCACCGGGAATCTACGCACGTTACACATCCCATAATAACACAGAGTAAAATTGTTAATTGTTGACCATGAATCTATTATAATAAAAACGAGTCAAATGTGATCTTTCTTTCTCTACTCTTGTCATGTGAATGTTGTCAGAATTGTTGCGGTTTTCCCCTCTTTGTTCTTCACTGGTTTCACTATGACGTCTGAGTCCACCACTGTCAGAACTGTAGCACTCTTTCACTTCCTGTCAGTTACTAATTCAAAACATAGCAACAATTAAAAGCACATTTATTTATTTATTTTCAACCTAATTACTCTGGCTGCTTGTGGGCATTTACTTTTCCATATTAAAGAGTGGCGTGGCTAATTGATTTCCTGAATAAAACTGCCCATAAACTTTATTAGGATATTGTAGTTTATTTAAAACCTTTGGGCATATAATCCAACCAGCTCGGCTACATAAGGTCACAAACAAGTACTCTTTGTGCTACGACCAAGCCTGGATAAATTAATAGGAAAGTGGTAGTCTGAGTACTTATTTCTCTACCTGTAGTTGTTTGGTCAATTAATCACTCAAAAACTTTAGTTGCCCACTTATTTCATTTCAAATTTATGGAGTTATATGGGAAAACAGCACATAGGTGAATGTATGGTGAGGGCTAGTGGATGATTTGGGAGTAACGTACCTTTTTTACAAAAAAATACATCGTCTCTTAGTACATTTCCTTTTAAATGTTGATTTGCATGAACTCCCATACAGCTCTAGTCTTGTGAGGGCAATTTGGGTTAGATACATGGTCAGATCATTGTAGTTTTGAGAGTTTTTGCCATGCCCTCTTTCGTCAACAGCGCATCTCTTTTTTTGTCTTAGAATTTTAACTACAGCCCAATTTGAGATACATTTGGTTTACACAGGAGCTTGTAGCGACTGAAACTTTGCAGAAAGTCCAACTGTGAGTGCATTGGCTTCCCCTTCCTATTCCCAGGGTGTGGTGGCTGTAGTGGAGATAAGTGTTATGCAACAATCTGAGTGCAGAAAACCCAGGCTTCAGCTTTTTACACAGGAAGCCCACGTCTGACTCAGAAAGCCACATCTCAGCCAAAGCTTACAAACACGCAGCTAACAGCTAATGCTAACAGCTTCCTCTCTGTGTGACCATGTAAATGAGCAACCTCGTTTGGCTTATTAGGGCTGGTCATTAGACCTACATTTGGTGTATGTTTTGTGTAAAACCATGACAAAATGACAATCAGTGACAATTAAATCTCAATTCTGACAGCTACAAAGAAATAGTTTGGTTTCTTGTAAAACAACAATGACAGAGACAGTGATTAAGTTAAGCAGATTCAATACACTTCGGCTTCAATGTGCGTGACTCGTGGTTGGTGACACCAGAGACTGAAAAGTAAGAAACAATGGACCAAATTGATTAGACTTTTAGTAAATATTATTTACTTTCTACTTCTGATTTTAAAGATGCATAATGCAAATTTTCTGTTGGAGGGTGTGCAACCTGCTTCTTTCAATGACAGGTTACAGAGTATAAATGTCTATCTATCCATCCATCACGGAGATAACTAGATGAAAGTACAGGTCAGACCAGGGGAAAGGTTACCCTGCTCACAGTTAGAATGCATGTTTTTATCAGTTACTCTATACTTAGCAGTAAAACACCTCTAAATGAATACATGGAAGCTTTGTGTAATGCCATACTGTGGAACATTTCAGGCAATTGCATTTCCGTGGATTCTGCAGGTTTTTGCTCCTGCACCACAAAATGTCCATAGTAACACCACAGCAACAAGCACCTTTAAGTGAAAAAGATGATCTAAATACAAAATAATTACACATGTAATTTTAATGTATGCTTGTTATAAGTTTGTGGGTAAAAACACTAAATACAACACAGTGGCCCCACACAGCAGCTTCTCCATCTGTCAGTCATGACTCTGAACACAGCACATGTGGTTGTTTTTGACATGGGTTTGGACCTCCCTCCACATGTGGCACAGATCTGGCGGCTCGGATTGGGCGGTTCTGTTGTGGGACAATGACGCAGGCCTCCCAACTCCCTCTGTCACTGCGGTCACACTCAGTCTCCAGGAGTCTGTCAGTTTGGAGCAGAGGAAGAGAAGGGGCTCAGGCTGTGAAAAGGGACAAATCAGCCAGGAGTGGAAAGGCAGTTACAATTTAAACATTTGCATGTTGTTATATTTATTTACCATATAGATAATAACAATCCACCATGCAAGCAGAAATTTTAAAAAGCTATTACAAATGTAGATGCAGTGAATTGCCTCTATAATGTGATTTGCTGTTTAATTTTGCATGCACTGACTTCCCTGTATTTTTCTGGGCTTGGAATTGCGCATTGTGTCTGGAATAACTTTATTAGTAATACTTTAATATAATATAATACAAATTTAAATATATTGTGCAGCTATGTGTCCTCTCCAGATCCTTATCACTGTTTGTCTTTGCCCCACAGAAATGTCACATTTTCTTTTTTATGTACTCACATATGATTGCTAAATAATTTTCTGAGCTGGCTCACACAGAAGTCGTATTCATAAATTCATACTGCGTCCTTGTTTTTCTCTTTCTTTTTTGGTATCACTAATTACACAGGCCTCTTTGTGTTACAAATAGGGCAGAGTGGTGAGGGTCTCTTGCACTGCTCTTGCTTCCTTGTGTGTGCGTGTCTTTTTGTCCCCTGAAGCACCCTCTACCCCCCTTCACTTTGTCTGATTTATGAAGCTATATTCTGCCGATGTGCGTCAGAGCGGCCCGGGAGTCTCGTGAGGCGCTCAGAGCTGAGGAGAGAGTCTCGTGTCTGGACAGCGTCAGACCGCAGCGTCCCTCTCTCTCCTCTCCTACCAACCCTCCCCTCGATTGGCCCATTCGCCGCAATCACAAGTCTGTAGCACATGCAGAGCCACATATGATCAGGCTGACTAGAGTGGATGGATATATATATATATATATATATATATATATATATATATATATATATATATATATATATATAGAATGAAATTAATGTAACACAGAGAGCAGGATATACACTAACTTGTTAGTTAGTTTTATGTAAACTATCTTTGCACAGGACATGCATAAAGTGTCTGCGCAAGTCAGTCTTAGTATAAGTCAATACCATTAGTATTATAATCTCAAAGGAAATTCAAAGTTCAGAAGACAGCAGCAACATAGAAAAGATATTTAAAGTTGCCAACTTTAATCCTCATCTTCTTGCATTGAACAGCTACAGGGATGCATTGGAATATACTAGTGATTGCATAACTTTGTACGATGTATTTACCATTCCTATCTTAAAAATGATCTGTACAAGTATCTGCATGTGTTTCATTTGTAAAGTAGCTATAGTAGCTGTAGTAGTAGACTATAATCAGCAGGCATATTTGAATGAAACATAGTAATAGAAGCATTAGCAGGTTGTAACTTTTTTGGGTGATGCTCATTACTCAGCATTGGTAACAGTGACTGTATGATGCACAACTTTCCCATAGTGATGGTCTGGTAAATGGCCCTTTTTCCCTGACAACAAAGACAGTAAACAGCAGCACTTAGCCAGCTCTCAAGAACCTAATTGCCTATTAAGCAGAATGGAGTCCTGCTTTATCCTCAGGCCTCTGCCCGGGGCTGCTATCCCAAGAGACAGGAGCTTTACAGTAAACATGACAAAAGCTAACGGCTAACCGTGGCTAACCGGAGCAATGGCAGTGCATGGACATTTAGTCACATATTCTTTTCGTCATCGGAGACAACATTCCGGTTTAATTGGAAATCAATATTGTTGTTTCAGTGATAAAGTTTGAAGCAAATTAGACCCATGTAAACTTTGACAATTTTAAATGCAAGTTTTGTCTCTCCTAACTTTTTGCATGGCATAACATTTATTACTAGTTAACTGCATTTCACTGTATCTCTTGATAACAACATGTATTTTGTCTATCTTCGCTACTGCCATAAAAATGATGTTCACATACTTACACATACTTGATCAGACTGTTTTTAAATGAACTTTAGTAGTGACTGATCAGAGCTATGTTGTGTCATGTGCAGGTTTGACAGATGAGAAAGTGAAGGCCTACCTCTCGTTGCACCCTCAGATGCTGGATGAGTTTGTGTTGGAGAGTGTGAGTGCAGAGACTCTGGAGCGATGGGTCAAGAGGAAGACCAGCTACAAGCCCACAGGTAAGGACTTCTACACTTGATTTTTTCATGTTATATTAGTAAGTAATTTGTTTCGCCTCTGTAGAGATATATTGTAAAAGCAGCATTCAAAGTTAAAATGAGACAATGAATGAATGACAATGAAACTGTGTGCTGTCTGCATCTAATTCAAAAGTGTTTCTGTCATTTGAAAACTAGGAAGTATAATGTTGGAGAGCTGATTGCAGGCTTGTTGTTAGCAGCGCCATGGTGATCTTATAAACTCTGTGAATAATTAGAATTAAAGCATTAGGAAAGTCATGAGTAATGTAAATGTCCCTGCTTGTCCCTTAAAAAAAGCATCATACACATAGACCGATTTTTAAGCATGATATATTGCTATAGTGATATACTGCAATAAACAATAATATTGAAACTACTTTATGCCACTGACACAATAACAATAAAGCAGATTAATTTGAGTAAACAATTTTTAAATTTACTTTATTATTTAAAAGCATGAGCTGCTATAAATAAACAGCAGAATGAACCAATAATTAGCTATAGAAGTTGTTTATTCTGCCCTATACTGCTTAAATCTTACTTTTCTTACATGAAAATGGCAAAAAATTATTGAGCTCCAAAATATATTATTCCGGCTTTCATGTATTGAACGATTAGTCGATATAGTAATTATCATGACAGGCCTAAATACTGTATATGCCCCTAATGAAAGTACAATAATACAATAAATACAAACGGCACCTTCTGACATCTGCAGCACTGAACCATGATTGACTTGGAGAATTACGTAGAGTCTGTGGCTGAAACTTATGTACTGTATATTTGCTTTTGGTAAAAGGAATTTTCATAATCCCCACATGGACTCTAGCCCGCCACAAATATAAGCTCTGTCCTTTGGATTTTATTGCAGTGAAAGGAAGGTGTATAACTTATGTGACTTATGATTGTTATTTTAGCTAAACTTCTCATCTTATCCTATCCTTCTGAAAAAGTGTGTGATAGAAAAAAGGAAAGAGGGAATTGGTGCTTTTGACAGGCTCACAATATGTTCTGTCTGTGTGACCTTTTTGCCGTAATAGGCATAAGTGCTCAAAGTTGGTTTGAGTGGTGATGGAGATGTTCCCTACAAACCCAAAGGTTGATTTTTCAATTTTGTCACCAGCAGATGTTGCGTCTTTTGGCAAGACACTTCACAGATACACTCTATGAATGTGCTGAGTGATTGTTTGACTGATGGCAGCTGTGGATAACCAGTTGTGACTAAAATTAATTCATGCACCAAACTGTTTACTGATCATGATTGGACTAATGTGATACTCATTTTTTTTCTGCAGAAAGACAAAATGTACATATATAATTCATCTATGTATGTTTTTATAGGCTGTTTTTATCATTTGATATTGTATATCTGATAGAAACAAAGAAAATTATAAAAAAAAATTTCCATCACCTTTTGCATTTTACTGCACCAAACTGTGTCATCAGCACTTCAACACTACAACAAATGAAAACTTGTCTGTGTCTTTGCCAGCCCTAAAATCCCTCTTCCCACATGTGTCTCCTGTAGTTATGTGTATGGAATAGACAGAGGGGGGCGGAGGAAGGCTTTCGTTTGGGTGTTTATGGGTCATTACATGTGTCTGTGCAGCTCTGGCTCCACACACACACTGCACCGCTCCTCAGACCAACCGCATCCATCAAGGGCCCCGAGCTCTGGCACTGTGCCCGGCCAGGCTGCTGACGTCAGAGCCGACCTCCAGAGACACGCAGCCGGCTGCAGGGGCCCGGGGGAGGGGCGAGCGGGGTGGCTGGAGGTAGAGAGGGACAGTACAAGAAGAGGGAAGAGAAGAATGGACAGTCTTTGGGTGCGTTGTTGCACAAACTAAAATTGGGGTTGATATAGAACAGATAAAAAGTTTTGCTTACACTGTCTGTCTGTCTGTCTAGGCCTTGTTGATGGCATCGTTTTTCATCTTCACGTTTTTGTCTAGTTTGTTTGCACATACTTTATTGTGTTGATAGGTGCCTATGGTGTTTATTACAGATTTTTAAAATTTTTAATGTGGGATCCAAGAAGAGTATCCACTGTTGAGGGAATACTAATTCACAATCTTTTTTGCTGCTATAGGTGGCCTCTAAAAAATCTTATTAAAATTGCAAGCTTAAAACAATATTTCAACTTTCAACTATCTAGGTTTGGAAACTACTAAACTACTGCTGTTTATTCAGTTGCGTCTATATAAAACTAGACACATTTTTAGTCTCACTGTACATGTATACTGAATTGTTTGTTCAGTGATGGCTCTGAGTGGAGGTGAGTCTGTGCATCCCATCAGCATCAGTCTCTGGTCCACTTCCTGCTCTGCGTCTGTGGACTGGCTCTTAAGCAGTTCTCACATCCTCGTTACCTTTCAGCAAATGTGTCCACTCCAACTCCACTGGCAGAAACACAACACTTATCATTACTGTGCTGCAGACTATCGCTCATCTTTCCTGTATGCACTGTTAAAAAAAATAATAATAAAAAATACATGCTAAAATACTCCAGATTGGCCTGTGTTGGCTCTCATAATATGATTGTCCAAGGATCTGATTTCAAAATAGCTGTCTATTGTTTTATTGGAAGAGTTGCATTGAATTCTATTGGAAATGAATTGGATTTGGATCTGGATTTTAACCATACTTGGCTCTTTTTTTTGGCTCACAGTGATAATTTGAGTTTTTTTTTCTAGTGAGCATTGTCACAATCCCAAAAAAAAAAAGAATATAGTAAAGAAAATGCCAGTTTTGAAATCACAAACTTGCTAAAGGTAGTATCTAGTTTCAATACTAGTTTTAGCACCAATTTGTATCTGGGTTACTATTTCTGACAACCCTAAAAGTCCTTCTGTGATTAATATCTACTTGCAAATGTACTGAGCCAGAGCAGTGCAAGGACTAATAGACCAGCACGCATAAAACACTCAAACAGACATATACAGTGATCTGGTTTTGGTGTCTCTTGTTTTGCTACTGCAGCAGCATTTGTCATCATGTGATTGTTACTGAGATTACCCACAATTTCTGGGAGCTCTCCCTGCAGCCTGTCTCGTTCTCACTTATCATGTGAGGGACAACACAGAATCACATTAATATCTTGTATCTGAACATGCAGTTGTGCTGTTAGCTCCACACTAAGATATAGTATAAGACCTTCTTTCTGTTAGGCCCTTCCTTCTGGTATTCTCTCAGGATATGAAAGTGGGCTGCGAGTTTTATGATGATTTTATTTTTCCTTCCTAACTGTGACCTACCCAGGATTGGAACTGGCACAATAAGGCCATTAATTTGTCATAATTTGTGAATATGTATTTAAGATTTCACTTTTTGGGTCCCCTTCGCATATTTATTTAAAACAGGATTATTGCATTTCTTGGTGCAACTTTCACAGTTAAATTCAGGTTTAGGATACACTATATTGTGAAATGAATACCTACCTTCTCTTCTGGATCACTCAAGCAAACTGAGTGTTTAGAGCATGCTGTACTTTCTTATTTCTGAACCATTGGGCAGTGTTTTTTAAGTTGATATGCTATAAAAACATGAAGAGCATTGTAGTTCCTTTGCACATCATCACTATTTAGATTTGGTCGGATATTTTCCTAGAAGCCCCTTTGATGTCATTCAGTCTACTACTTCTCTCCTGACAAAAAGCTCCTGGTACTGTTTACTTCACACCACACGCTGTCATCATGCAATTAATAAATCCCAATAATTTAATCTGCTGTCAACGGCCAGTAATACAAACTTCAGTTAGGGGGTGGGCAAGGCTAAGAAAATGCCGTTTTACAGAATTACTATTGCATTTGAAAAGTCCCTGGGTAGACTGTGGACTGTGGAGGGCAGAGCGGGCAGAGTAGGAGCAGCTGACAGTGTTTCAGCTGTGATGGGAAGGTGGCAGTGAGAGGACAAAGACGCGCTTGTGTGACCCAGGATCTGTGATAGGAGCTCCTCACCTGCAAGGCTCTGCATGAGGACACAGGCCCCCACACTCTAGTGAAGCAATGGAGGGGCGATCTTAAACAGTGTCATGGTCTGTAAAAGAGGAAACATAATGCATATAAAGGCCTCCAAGGCATTGATCGTACCGCTCCTGGCTAAATACAGCAAGGACAAGAGCAGCTTTCATGTGCCCTCAAACCAGAAATCTAGTTGTTGAAATGCTTAGATTTACAGAGCCTTTCCTGCTCACAGCTGTAAATCTATACTTCTTTACTGAAATTACATGTTTAATGTAGCACTTTAATTGTCAGTTTTCAATCTTTTCACTCCGTAGTCACACTTGATGGTGGAAGTGTAAGCATAAAGTTACATGTACCAGATGGAGTTTTACTTCTACACAGCTATTACTGCATTACTTTTTGTTTTTGTAACACATTACTGACAACTTCCCGAACTGTAAAAACAAAGATAAATGCATAGTCCTGTTATTACTGTACTGCGTTACTATTGAACTGTATGAGATTGTCTACTACAAAAACAACCAGTGTAATCTTAACAATACAAATGTGCAGTAGAAGTAGCATAGGCTGCAGGTTTTGGCAGCAGGTCAACTTCGGAGCAGCAGGTCTTTGCGGGAGGTCACTGTGTATGGAGCGCTGAGTCACTGCAGTGGGACGTCCTGTAGGAGACAGGCCTGTATCTGTGACAGAAAGGGATCGATGTGGGCCCCTCAGGTGTGCAGAGCAGGGCCCAGCTGACAGAGGGGTTTTTCCTCAGTCTGATAGTCCTATAGCCACGATGTGGTGTGGTGCTCCAGTCATTTATCACAGTGTCGCATCAGACCCCCTCCACTCTCCCCTCTGCTGCCCCCTCCACTTCCCCCAAGCTCTGCTGACGTGGGCGCTGCAGGTGTGACTCCTGAGGAACAAGGCTTTTTACTACAGATTCATACAGATATTTATATTTACACACAAATTTAGACAGATCGAGGCATTGAACTGGTTATAAAATGCAATGTACTATGATATTTAAAGCAGCACATTAGCATCTAAGTCTTTTATTTACAGCTTACTGAACTGAAACTGCAGAGTCCACAGGTGTGATCTTCAACATGTGGTCTGCAGTTTATAATATGTATAAAGTTTATACATTTGAATGGAAATAAATACCATTAGGATAGGAATAATGTACATGACCCAATGTTTTTACAAGTGTGAGTGTGTGTATGTGTGTGTGTGTGTGTATGTGTGTGTGTGTGCGGGTTTGTGCCTAAATCCACATGTGGGGTTGTGTGCGCTTGACATGCCGAGCACAGAGCAGCTGGTGAAGCTGAGATAACGTCCTGTCTTTTATGAATGAATTGCTGGTTATTGCATGTGATGTAGCATTGGCATTTTCAGTTTGGTATGGCTGGTAAGTCTTTTATAGAAAATATTTTGTATTTTGTATTAGATAACTGTTGTTTATTGTTGGTCTGATTAGCTAAATGTTTAGAGAGACCCTTCATAAATAGTTACAGTTTGTTTTTGTGGCCTCTTTTATATGAATTTTCTAAGAACATTTAAGGCCTTTTCTCTGTGTTTACAGAAAGCACAGCCCAGGCATGTAAATATGGGGTGACATCAGAGCACAGTGCTGTCAGTGTGTTTAAGAATGACCATGAACAATTCTCAAGTACTCTGTCAATGTATTTACATATATGGTCTAAGAAATTTATTTTTTATGACAGTGAGATGCAATGCTGGGCCCACATGTGCATGGACAAAGTGGCATTTACTGAAATTCATCCAACCAGGTTATTCATTCACTGCAAATAGCACCATTAAAGCTAAATATTAAAGACACAATTACCTCAGTCAAAGTGTTCATGTATTCAATGGCCCTTTGTGTTCGTTTATTGACAAAATAACTAACCATTAACCAAAGTTACTTACAGGTTGAACAATACAATAGTAGTACAGTACAGCAATAGTTTTTACCCATAAATGTTGTATGCTTGTTCCATTCAGATAATACAAAAACATACCTGCATCAGCGCCTTGTCAGATATTGTGTTCTTGTCCTCTAGTACATGTAGCCAAGAATCTGTCTTCAGTTTTATTAAGATACAGTTGATATTTGGCAGGCAGTGTTTAGTATTATTTTTAAATGTACATTGCGCATTATAAGTTATCCTTATGGGAATAGACTATTGTTTCTGTCACTGTTTCATTATAAAGAAAATTGTCTGTTTTCTGAAGCTTCTCTCTCCTACTCTCTGTCCTCCTGATTGACGTCACGCCTGGCCAGGGGTTGACTCTAAAATAGCTCTCGCGGCTAAGTTAGGAAACTCATCGCATACTGAAGGAATGTTTAAAACAACAAACATCGTAGCTGGCTCTAATCTCTCTTTTTTCTTCACATGTTCAAGAAGACCAACACTATCAAGCTTTCACTACAGCGATCTCAAAATCTCCCAGGCGTTTTCATGGTGTAATCACATGAAAAGTTATCAAAGGAATCAGACCACTTATTGTTCTTGTGCGCTGCTGACCCATGCGTAATGAAGTCATTTGAATGCATGTATTTTCGACTCTCCTTAAGTCTGAAAAACTGTTATGATTGGCTCAAGTCTCAGTATTATCACATACTTCCAAATGTTCATCCAAACACAATAACCATATGTCAACTGCCTGTCCAATGAGCCAAAATCTCAAGGGGAATTTGCACCGGAGGCCACGAATTGTTGCTCTTGTCAAGTTTAATTAATGCCCAGACAAATTAGGCTTTTAAAGGAGTATTATTTACCAGCATCTGAAGTGACTGATAATAAAGAATGAGGTACACATGTGGTTTTGCTTATGCTGGGTGTATGGGGCTTTCAAACACACCCGTCTACGCTGCTGCTGATGTCTTTGTTTTTCTTTGTACATTTACAGATTCCTATTTTGGATTCAGTGGAAATTAAGGGCGTTATATCTTATTTTGTCTTAACAATGTGAAAAATAGAACTAGTTCATGTCAATAGGTTTGCTGTGGTTCAATGTATTCCTTACTTACCAAAACAATGAGTTTATAAGTGCTTTTCACAACTCTCAGAGACCAGAGCAGAGTGCTGCGAAGATAAAACTAGCAACAACTGGCATGCTAGCATGCACTTCCTGATTATTGGAAAAATAAAATGCTTTTGTAATTAGATGCAGACAACAGACAGTGGACATATTTTGACCTCAAGAGCTGCTTATACAATATATCTGTACTGGGGCAAGACAAATTTTGCTCAAATACCCGGTAAATAATCAAAACCTTTACATAAAATTAAAACTCTTTACAGTGATTTTTTTGTGTGTGTTTTTTTCTTCACAGATGACACGTCATCAAAGGAAGTTAGCAGGGTAGGTCTATGCCAAGATGCATGTTTATTTATTTGTGTTTATTTGTTTATTTGTATGAAGTTACTTTGAGAGAACTGGCAGTAGTGTATAACCCTCCCTGACACATTCTGTTTTGTATTGCTGAGTGAGACAATTCATTCATGTTGCCCACTCCAATCACCATAATCATACTTGGTTTACTGGAAGGGCATCTGGCTTAAAATATGTAAATGCAACAGGTTCATTAGAGCAAGGGTTTTCAAACTGTGGTACGTGTACTGTGCTGAATTCTGAGTCTGTTCTGGGTTCACTGTATCTGCATTTCTACTCCTTAATTTGGGTTAATCCTTGTTTAGAACTAATATATCAGTTGAGTCCTGATTCAGTCCTGGTTTAGCCCTATTTAGACATAGAACAGTAATGTAGTGATTTGGTTTAGACCTGTCTAGACCTTTGTTTATTTTCTTATGTGGTACTACATAAAACTCATAGACCATGTAACAATGAAGAGAATAAAAGAAAATACATATATTGCTTACAGCTTAAAAACATGCATTTCTATTACGTCTTCTTAGTGTATATATTCATACTCTACCAACCATCCTTGTTTCTGGAAAGTCCAAGTCCCTGGAGTTCACACCTCTGTCTGTTTTACACTTTAAATCCCTGAAGATGCAGTTTGTCTGTGGCCCTGAGCCCCATGACCCTGTGCTTGAGTCTGTGTACGTCACAGTGGATATGTGAGGACAGGGCGCCCTATGGGACACTGTTTCTAGTGCTGCCCCTGCTCCCCTGTCCTCTGCCCCCATCCCTCCTCTCCTCTACCCTGGTCTTGGCAGGTGCAGAAATAGACAGATCCACTTCTTACGTAACAGTCATTTCAGGCTACATCAGAACAGCAGTGAGTGCCAGGGTCTAATCAGAGCAAGAGTGCAGGGAGCTTCCACTGCTAAAATGCCCCATTGAAACGTGTGGGTGGAGAGCCAGACTGGTGAATGGGACAAGTTTGTGAATGACAGAGAGATTATGCACCCTCATTCATTTTTTTGTTACAGTTATGTGACTAAGTTAAGTTTAGATATACTAATTATTTTGTAGTATAATCTATTTATGATCTTTGCGTTATAGTCCAGGTTCCAACCGACACAAAACAGGAACATTTCTGACAGTGACCTGTAACAAAATCTACAACTATCATACTCCATCTCAACTGCCCATGCTTCCCATGTCTAATGTGATGTTCAGATGTGATACTGAAAGTGTGTTCTTGAGTATAGAGTTGTAATGTGTCATGTATCTCTGTCCAGCAGTACCAGGACAGTAACATGCAGGGTGTTGTGTACGAGCTCAACAGTTACATGGAGCAGCGCCTGGACACAGGAGGAGACAACAAACTTTTGCTTTATGAGCTGTGCAACATCATCAAGACTGGTAAATGCCATTCACTTTTCACTATGACAGCTAAATATTAATAACACTCACTGTCATTTCATTATAACTTATCTTGCAGAGTATATTTCATTATAACTTATCTTGCAGAGTATATGCAAAGATGGTTTGTTATAGTTATTTGTGTAACTTTTTGAAGTTACTCAGGGCTGAATTGACTTGGAAGATGTGTTAAATTGTATTCCATGTAAGGTAGACATTACAAATAACACAACATAACATTATAAAACAGGTGGCTGTAATATTATGAGTGTACATTTGAACCAAACTACTTTCTCCAGATGATATGACCTAAATCTGAGAGTGAAACAGATTGGAGCGGAGTGGGAATGGGATGGAGATGTCAAAGCCACAGCGCCCTTGTTGTTTCTGTATGTGGGACAGTGTTAATAGATGGTTATTACTGTAGTGGCACACAATGTCTAATTATTTTTGATAACATTAGCAAGGTTCAGGTTATGAATACATGTGTAAAAAGAACAGACTGAATGATAAGCATAGGATTTATCTGTGTAATTTCTCACATATGACTATTTTTCCTACAGCAACGAAAGCTGATGGATTTGCACTTTATTTCTTGGGAGAATGCAACAATGTAAGTAGACAACCATAGCAACTTTAAAGCTGGGGTACCTCCTGTAGATTATATTGTAGAAGAAGCACTGGCAGAATCATCCTATGTATCTAATTAATGCCTTATATCGGTCACAAATCCAGAAGAAATAGTCTGATTAGTCTGATATGTTGCTATGTTGCACATTGGGATGAGAATGGATTGGCTGTGCTAGGGTGATATGCACTTCTTTGTTTTGGCATCTGAAAAAGCTGTTCTAATGCTGTGAACACCTCCTCTGCCAAAATGTTGCATGTAAACAGCAACGATGCACCAAAGAGTTTGTGAGAGATAGAAACAAGCTAGAGCTGCAGGTGACAATTTAAACTACCTACTTCCTCTTTTCATTGTTTTAATATCAACTACTCCATCTTTAAGACAAACGTTCTTTTTGTTTTAATTTGTGAAATATCTGATTTCTTTGCTGTTTCCAGAGTTTATGTTTATTCACTCCAACGGGGGCCAAAGATGGTCCTCCCACCCTCATTCCCTACGGCCCCATTGCGTTCGGGACGACCATAGCCGCTCATGTTGCCAAGACTCGCAAACACTGCTGGTAGAGGACGTCATGGGGGTAAGGGCACTTTATCTGTACCACAGACTACTGCACCGGATAAGGCTTTCAGTGTTCTCCTATGCACTTCTTATTTTCATCATTTTAGAGTTGAAACAAAACAAAAAAAGACTATTTAAACAACTATATTTAAGGGTTCCTTACGTAAATTTTGTTGTGGGGAGTGTGACACCTGGTTGTCTGCATGGTGTTTTTTTTGGCTTGGTATGATATTGAACTTCTATCTATCTCCTTGGACACAAGCAGGTGACTCTGATCATCATTTTATCTGGCACTGCTACCATTCTTTTTGGTAGTACTTTTTCATTCAAATGCCAATTAATTCTATGATTTTGCCAATTTTTGATTTAATGCACTCCTGCTTGAATATGTGACCATTTGTAGACCATTAAAAACAACAAAATGAAATCACTACTCTAGAAGACCACAAACCACAAGTTAAACCTAGCCCTGCATATTTAGGATCAGTTCTCTCAAACCAGTTTGTGATGTCATGTGGTAATACAGGAAGTGTTCCACAATTCCATGTAATATAGAAGGACCTGTTTTCTTGACTTGTCTACTTGAGTTGCATTAGCATTAGCCTCCTGTGCGTTCCAGGACGAGCGCTTCCCCGACGGCACAGGACAGGACTCAGGGATCCACTCTGTTCTGTGTCTGCCCATCCTCACTGCCATCGGAGACCTGATTGCCATCCTGGAGCTGCACCGGCGAAGGGGCAGGGAGCCCTTCAACCTTAGCCACCAGGAGGTCAGTGTGCCCCAGGGCATCTGCGTGCAGGGGGAGGGCAGTCAGGCCAGGGATATCAGGCCAGGGATAACATTTTTGAAAGAATTACATATTAGAAGGTAAAGATGAGATTTTATTGTCATTGTACAAAATACAACAAAACTTTGATGGAACAAAACAGCACCAGTATCTAAAATTAATACAATTAATAAATATTAAAATAATTGTTACATAATGTAATTATGTCTGGGGCATTGGTTTTATTTTATTTGCTTATTTTTACTTTTGATTCTTTCATTGGATGAAGCCTCTTCTCATTTTAAAGTGCTACACAATTGGTCAAATTACAGTCCACCAACTCTTTTACAAGTTGCTTTTGAATGATCTAACGGCGTTTTCTCCCCTCCAGGTTGCAACAGCTAATCTAGCCTGGGCCTCAGTTGCTATTCATCAAGTACAGGTGAGAGACACACTGGTCCACCCCTCCCTCCATCCTTCTCTGTTACAGTAACACTTCTGAGGAGGAGGTCTTATTTTGTTCTGTAGTGACTTTGTTTGTACTGGTTCTGCTGGTGTTTTGTCAAAGGGAAATCCACTGTGTACAGGAACTGGGTCGTCACTGGGCCCAGTCCAATCAACTTAGCCATAGATTGAACAAACATGTCCCCGAGGATGTCATTACGGCCCCGTGCTGTTTTCATGTGTACCATAACAGCGCAGAGGAGGGCGTCCCACTGCAGCGCACCCACAGTGGACCTCTGAACTTCTGTGAGGGACAGTGTAGTCTGAGGAGGCAAAACAGGCACAGACTCAGGCCAGGGACAGACATGAGTTTAGCAGCATAACTTTAACGATGTATCAGAGAAAAGTGTTTTTTGGTTTATAAATGAAATTATATCAAATTTAAGTGACTTAAATGTTCACTTTGTAACTTTTCTGGTGAAAACTACCAGCTTGTCAGCAGGTACATGTTATATTTTGCTTACAGTATGGGATTAAAATCATATATCTTGCATTAATTCAATTAATTGTGTTTATATTTACTAAAAAATGCAACTTGCAAATATGCATTCTTACTGGGCCACCCTTTCCACAGATCTGACTTGTAACTTGGCCTGGCGGTATTCATCTCCACAGAGATAGATAGGTTTAATGCTATACTATGCAATAGTCTAGGCAAAGAAATAACATTTCTATGGAGATAGGTGCAGGTGGCAAACCATCCACCATAAAAGTTAGTCATTCTGAAGTCACTCTGAATGCCACTGTTTTGTTCAGATGATAATATATTTTTATTAAATAGCAAGCCATTTTATAACATGAAGTATTTTTCATCTATATAACCATTTCCTGACACATTATTTTTAAAACATACATTGTTGGAAACTCATATTAACTTTTATAGCAATTGTGTAACCTTTTGACCTTGTTCTCAGGTATGCAGAGGCCTCGCTAAACAGACGGAGCTCAATGACTTTCTACTTGATGTGTCAAAGTAAGAGTCTTTTTACTTCATACTAGTAAAAGCAAGTCAAACATGTTTTTGTCCTAGCATAAAACAAGTCTTTTAACCAGTAAATGTTTTTGATGAATATAGTTTATTTTAGGAAACGTAGCATCATGTCCTGAATGTGTACGTCATCTGGGCTTCCCATTTGTCAGACATTTCAATGCCCCATTTCTTCTTTTCGCACAGAACATACTTTGATAACATTGTGGCAATAGATTCTCTACTTGAACATATTATGGTGAGTGTGATTCCTGTTTGTTTTCATCACATTGTCTCCAGAGCTACATACTTTGTTTAATATGTTTTTAGCACATTTAAGTAAATGCTAAAATATTTTCAATGACCAAAATGTCTAAACATTTCTAAGTCCTCATTGTTTCTATGTATTCATTTGCCTTGTGACTGTGTGTCATCTGTGGGTCATTCAAGTCATTGGGTTCAAGTGAACTCTAGTGACATGTAGTTTAACTGTGTTTGTCCATGTTTACATGGCTCATTTACTAAATAGATTTGGAAATTAGGTGTTACTAAAATATGCCCTGTTTTGGATTTTCTATGTATCAACATGCATATAAAGCTACTATTGGCATTACAAGTATTTGGTCTTTTTTCAGATATATGCAAAAAACCTGGTAAACGCAGACAGGTGCGCGCTCTTCCAGGTCGACCACAACAACAAAGAACTGTACTCCGACCTCTTTGACATCGGGGAGGAGAAAGAAGGCAAACCTGTCTTTAGGAAAACCAAAGAAATTAGGTATGAAACATATCTGCATTAAAGGGGAATCATTTAATCATTTATTATGGTTCAGTGCCTATACTCTCTTGCCTCTTACAGGTTTTCTATAGAGAAAGGAATAGCTGGTCAAGTAGCACGGACAGGGGAGGTTTTAAATATCCCAGATGCCTATGCAGATCCAAGGTTTAACCGGTAAACACACAATAACATTAAGTAAATGTAGAATTAATTCCTCTCTGTGCAAGAATTCACTTGCTTCACAGCGCTTTAACACACAATTAAAGGTTCACTATGTAACTGCTATGTCCACTGTTTGCATATGTTCATCAATATGTTAATTATGATATCTATCTTGTATTTATTGAATAACTGGTGTTTTTGCTGCTTGTCCCCATGAAGATGCTTGGAGATAAATACATGTAATGATATCCTGGATCTGTCCAGGCAAATCAGAAAGTTACATAATGCACCCATAAAGTGCTTATTTATTTCTAATCAAATGTAGTGTTAGTTCAGTTAATTTACAAGAAACAGTATTGGATAAAAATAAATTAACTTCAGTTAAAACATTATTTTAAACATTTTCAACATTATCTGTTTCAGGGAGGTGGATTTGAAGACTGGCTACACGACGCGAAACATCCTGTGCATGCCCATCGTGAGCCGCGGCACTGTGATCGGAGTGGTGCAGATGGTGAACAAACTGAGCGGAAGTGCCTTCACTAAAACTGACGAGAACAACTTTAAAATGTTTGCTGTCTTTTGTGCTTTGGCCTTACACTGTGCAAATGTGAGTCTGTTCAATTGCATGAATGTTACTTTTTTCTTACACATACATACCCTATCCCGTATGTTTCTATTCTAAGTCTACTGAAGGAAACACTCCTAGGTCTGCTCAGAGTCTGTTGTCATTTATGAGGGGCTCTAACCTTGGGTACATGAAGAGATAACTAGACAGTTAAATGTGTGAAGCTGGTAGATGAAATAGATGATGATTATAGATAATTGTGTAAATCAGAATATAATTCTCTTCTTCTGTTTTTGTAGATGTACCACAGAATTCGGCATTCTGAATGCATCTACAGAGTGACCATGGAGAAGTTGTCTTATCACAGCATCTGCACATCAGAGGAGGCCAAGACCCTCACACAGCTCAACCTCCCAGCTCCCATTTACAAAGAAATAGAAACGTGAGCAAACCTATTATATCACTATTAGGGATAAATAAAGACTTTTTGGTTAATTGATCACAATGAATCATGAATATGTCACAATATAAGAATTAAAAATGTATAATTGTGAAGCAAAAATAAGTCATTTCAATTTTTTCTATACTTGAGAAAAGTAGCCAAAATGTAAATGCATTTGAATAATTTTTATCATTTTGAAACTTTTGATTTTCATAATTTGGTCACACATTAGAGGAATGTTGATCTTGATCTATGAAACATTGTAAACTGAAGAAAATTAAGGATTTAACTGTTGTCTGGGCTTGGTACCAATAAGTATAATTGTAAAATTGCAGCTTCTCCTCACAGTTACACACTAAAATTTCATGCGACAGCTCTCATATGGACATTCCTGAATGTACTTTGTACTATATATTACAGTATAAATCTGGGCCTAAGATGTCCAATGGCCTGTCTCCCCTGTCTGCCTCCCCCAGGTGAGCGACTATACTAATTTTATACTCCTTTTCCAGGTTCCACTTTGATATCAGTCCCTTTGAAGAGATTTGGCCTGCTGTCTTTATCTATATGGTTCATAATTCCTGTGGAAAAACTAGGTAACCAGTAATTTATGTCAATTTTATTTTTGTATGCCCTTTCTAATCTTTTCTCTTTCTTTATTCCTCAGTTTTGAGTTAGAAAAATTATGTAGGTTCACTATGTCCGTCCGCAAGAACTACCGTCGTGTGCCCTACCATAACTGGAAGCATGCGGTCACGGTAGCACACTGTATGTATGCCATCCTACAGAAAACTCCAGGGATCTTCACAGAGCTAGAGGTCAGTTTATTATTTATTCTTTTTTACACACATTAAATAAAGAAACACATAATGATGACGGGTCTGTTACCTACTTGTCATAAAGATGATATTCTTTGACTGGAATATTCCGCAGTATGGCATTACATATATCAGTCTTGCATTCAGGTAATAACACATTTTGTGTTGCTATAAAATTACCTTGCATAGCACTCATTGTTATTGTTGGAGAGCTTGTCTCTCCACAGATGTGACCTTTAATTTGGCCTGGTTGCATCACCTACTTGTCTAAATGAAGACAATTAAGTTAAATGTCATACTGTGAAACATTTCATAGAACAATAACTGAGCAGGTGGAGGACCCTCCACTAAAAAGTTACACAGTCCTTCTTTAAAGTCTCTGTTTTGTGTTTGCAGAAAAAGGGTTTGTTAGTAGCCTGTTTGTGCCATGATCTGGATCACCGTGGTTACAGTAACACATACCTGCAGAAGTTTGACCATCCTCTGGCGGCCCTGTACTCCACGTCCACTATGGAGCAGCATCATTTCTCACAAACTGTCTCCATCCTGCAGGTACATCTCAATTATGCACACACAACTATACATTTACATAATAACCTTCTATAGAAACTGTGAGACTAGTAACCACTCGTACATGATAGTTTTGTAGCCCTATACCTTTACTCTACTTACACTGAGTTGTATTTCATCATCTTTTTGGCAGAGTGAATTTTGCAACAGATAAGAGTTTATTATGGGGAAGTAGAACTTCCTCAGTTATTTTCATGAATGCAAAAACAGGCTAAAGAGTCTATTGTTTAGTAGCATCACCTCTTTCAGCAGACAGAGTCGTGAAGCTGGGAGGTGGGCCAGGTGTGGGCTCTGGATTTACTGCAGTTTTTCTTAGAAGAGACTTGTGTGTTCCAGCATACATGTAATTGTGTTTTATACTGACTTCTTACCCCCAAATATTACATGAGAGAAAGTTTTGTTTTGATAATACTGTACATGATTTGTGTTTCACTTACAAGAGTTGAGACAGTATAAAATATCCAGGTCATAGCAGATGAAGCTGACATCGGCTTTTCCTTTTTCTAGCCAAAACCTACACCGCTTAAGTGGAGCTTTTGCTTTTTTATCGATCTCTTTGTTTCTCATAGCTGGAAGGGCACAATATTTTTTCCAACCTGAATTCCAGCGAGTACGAGCAGGTGTTGGAGATCATCCGAAAGGCCATCATTGCCACAGACCTCGCCCTTTACTTCAACAACCACCAGCAGCTGTCCGAGCTCCTGTCTGTGGGCGCTCTGGACCTCAACAACCACTCACACAGGTCAGTCCATGGCATATACAAGTCAACTCACGTTTACATTAAAGTTAAACTACCTGATGTTACTGCTGGTGCCCCCAGTGCTGCGGAAATTAAGCTTGTTGATACATAAAGCACTACCAACCTTACTTCTCAAATACAACAGTTTTTATTATATTATTCTCTTATTATACTTATTATAGTTTATGTAACATCTGTCATGGAGATGACAGATATTCATCTATCTATGGCATTTTATCTATCTATGGCAACTTATCTTTATTTATTCAATGAACAGTGTTATATTGTTGACAAAATATACTGAAAAACATGCTTTTTGTGAGTGGGGTCATCTCTCCACAGGTCTGACCCATAACCTGCCTGTCTCCATGGACAAGTTAAGTTTAATGCCATGTTTTGGAACATTCCAAGTAAAGCACTAACATCTTTATGGAGACAAGTAGACTGTGGACCCACCACCAGAAAAATTACATAGTGCTCTTTTAATCTGTGGAGGAAATGTTCTGTGTTATTCATGCTCTTGTTTGTAGGTCGCTGCTTTGTCTTGTTTTAGACAGCTCATTTCTGGGGTGCACCTGGTTTATACCTGGTTCGGTCCTTTTTTTTTTTTTACTTTGCTCTACTTGATGTTATAACATTTTATGAATATCTGTAATAAACTAGTTGATTATCACATGGTTTCCTACAAGGCAGTCCCAGGCCAGATAAGTGAATGCAGTTTTGTTCAAAGATGTTTAGCAGCAGCGTCACACACAAACCTGGTTGACCACAAGGATTAAAGGAGTTTTTGCTCTCGCTGCAGGGACCGTGTGATTGGTCTGATGATGACAGCATGTGACCTGTGCTCAGTTACCAAGCAATGGCAAATCACACGACTCACCGCCAACGACATCTATGCAGAGTTCTGGGCCGAGGTACACTGGGAGACTGTTGCCGCTCAAATAGTATTAGCGTCATACTCATGCCTCTAGTTATACGCTTAAACCTCCATTATGACTTGTTCAGGCTAGATCTGACGAAAATGAATACGAAGTGAGCTCTTTGAGCTAAAATTAGATTTTATTTTATTTTTCAAAATCTTGTTTTTCTTGGTTTTGCCTCAGGGCGATGAGATGAAGAAGATTGGGATCCAGCCGATACCCATGATGGACAGAGACAAGAAAGATGAGGTTCCCCAGGGCCAAGTAAGTGCAGCGTACACAGGTGTACACTATTAAGGAAGACTAAAAGCTTAGTTCTGAGATTAATCTGTAAACATACAATCAAAATTTCAGGAAAAGATACCACCACATTAAGTTTTGTTCTCACTGCATAGCCAAGTGGCTATGTGACCACAGCAATAATGTTATAAAAAATAACTTTTTGAGATCACATTTTTTAAATCAAAGAAAATATTTTAAAAAGTAATTTCTAAGAATATTGTCTTTTAACAGTTTTTTTCCTGTCTAATTATAAAAAAAAGCATCTGTCAATAAAATATGGTTTGTTATTGGCAAAAGTCAAAGACAGTGAAATCTTAATGAAATATTTGTAATTCAAGGAATTTGCAGTGATTCCCATTTTAGTACACAAAGAAGTTTCACACATTATTACCATATTATTTGTATATATTTAATGAAACGCTCCATAACCCAAACACAAAATCACTAATAGTACCCACATACAAATGTATGTGCAGTGGCAGTCCTAGGCATGGCTGCCAGAGCGACTGCCCAGGACGGCATTTCACGGGGGGCGGCATTTGCGGCAGGAAAAAAAGCGCCCCCTCCTGGTTTTTAGTCTAATTTATCGTGTACGGTTAACCAAGATTTCTGCAAATTTAATCACAAATATTATTGAAACATTATATTAAAAAATTTAAGACACTTACGTGTCCATTTCAGACTCATTCAAAATTTAAGCATGACTGAGGCTAACATCTATGAGGTAACCAATGTTCATAATGCTGATTAGATGATTAGCTCCCCGGTAAGCTTTTTTTTTTTTTTTTCTTGTTAAATCCTCTTAAGTTTATAGGAAAAAATAATGGGAAATGTACTTTGAGAAACTCAATGTAGTTATGCTCCATAGGGTAACTCCAAATTTGGACAATGTATTTATTTTTATCTTTTAAATGTTATTTATTCGTATTCATTTACACACAGTTTTCTGATGTATTACACTTTTTTTCTTTAGGTGGGATTTTACAATGCAGTTGCAATCCCATGTTACACAACGTTAGCAGAGCTGTTTCCTCCGTCCGGCACTCTTCTTAAAGCCTGCAAGTAAGTATTTTGTACTTCTTAGCTTAAATCTAAGAGTATAGAAATATTTTTATTATTATTATTAAATAATTGTGTTTTTATTGTGAGTAAGTGCCATGAGTTTTTAGTTGGCCTTAAGTGACCGGCAGCAGCTACAGTAAAGGCCAGACTGATTTGATCTGATTGACAGGAGCAGAGAAGATGCACGTGCCAAATATTTCTCTAGACTCGAACAAAACAGGCACACCACTGTACTCTAATCAAATAAAATACCAAAGTAAGCACAGAGATCAATGTTATCATCTATGGACAGACATTTGGCATTTATTTGTCTATTATATTATGGTCTTCTCATTATGATAATGAAGCGTGTCCTTTAGTTTGCACAGATGTGATGTCGAAGCTTAGTGTTAGCAAGCTGTTATGGTCAGTTTTGCAAATGTTATTGTAATGTATACAAACTACACACTGTGAAGTAATAACTGTAATATAAATATTACTTTTACATTGAGGCATTGTAAAATAAATATGTAGTGATATTGTTTTATTCTTATTTGAACTTTTAAAATTCCTGTTTTAACCTGTTAAATCAAATGTGAGCCTTATTAAGGGGAAACAATTTTATGTTGTTATGTAGTTTTTTCATCTTGTTCTAAAATGTTACCACAAGTTTCACTGGAAAACAAATACAAAAAACATAGAATATTAAATATTAATTACAGTTAATCCAGATAAGTGAGTGTATTTTTTGTGTGTGTAGGGAGAACCTGAGCCAATGGGAGAAGATTGCGAGTGGGGAAGCGGAGGACATAGTGGTGAAGGAGCCCAGTCGGTCGTCTGCTGGAGATTCAGGTCCGGTGAAGGTGGATAACTGACCCCCAAAGGACCCTCGCTGTGCCACCAAAGGAGTTTAAGCTGGATCCTGCTCCGAGCTGTGAAGAGGGCTGGCGTTAGCAGCAGCAGATGACAAAGCTACATTCAAATTTGACTTTGAAAACACACAGTAACCTCATCAGGTGACGGAGGTGTCCACACAGATCCAGGGACTGACACGAGACTTCTGCAGCCCAGGAATCTATGTGGTGAAAGAGACTGGCTGTTATGATTTTATGTTGTTTTATAATTTTGTTTTTATTTGAGCTGTATCTTTTGTGGTCTTGCATTTGAGAGGCCTTAACTCTGAACCATTTACTGGCTTTTTAAATGGTACTGTTTGCCTTCTGTGGTAGGGTTATGGATCATAGCAGACTACTCCAGAAAGGTATTCCCAGTGACAGAAGGAATGTGCAGTGTGATGTGATGCCACCTTACTGAAAAGGTGAACGTGAGAATGTTTTTGTTACTTTTGAGCAAAAATCCTTTGCAGTACTTGAATAAAGACACACAAACTCTTGAAAGCCCTCACAGCCTATTTTTACAAAAATATGGGCAAATTGTGAGAGAAATAAGATAATGTTCATACTTGTGAATGCAGTCACAAGAGAGTCGCAATGTGCAGCCCATAGCATAGCCAAAGGCCCCATTGGCATTTCAGAACCTGCTGTGCACTATGTCCACATGTAGTTAACAAGATCTTTCCCTAATTTAACCACCCGAATATTCCAGAGATGAAATACAAGATAGAAGAACAATGTACAATTAGCTTCTGTTGGGATTTCTGTCAGATAAAAGAATAGTGTCCACCAATAGTGTCTCCACTTTGTCATTAATAATTTCACACTACAATCTGGGAGGAGCTGTGCCTTAGTTTCTCTCATTAATCAGTAACTGTTCTGCCCTCATTAATTAAACAGGACGGATCACACAAGTTGGTTAAGATCTCTGTGCAATAGTCCCTTATGAACAACATATTTATGCTCATGTATTGTACCTTCAAACACCACGTGTTGTTACTAATGAAGACGGCAGACATCAGGGGAAGGTGAAAATTGCTTAAATGCTTTAGGCATGTTTTTGTTGAAGCATCGTCCACTTTCTACCACTTGCCTCTTTTCATTCAACAGAGAAGCCTCTTTGATCCAAGCTTGAAATGACATTTCAGCTCATATTTTCCCATAATGCTTCAGCTGTTAAATCAAAAGACATATTTGAGACTGTGGGACCTATCATGTTGGTGACTATTCAAAAATAAATGAATCCCACATGTACGGGACGCATCCAAGATCTTCCAAAAGACTTTTTTGCCTAAAACTGTCATTCCAGTGAACGTTGTCCAAGACTGAAATTATCGCCAAATGATTTGTTTTTATGACTGGTACTGTGGCCCTCCCCCTTTTGGTGTGAATGTAATTTAAATTTGACAAATGTTATGTTAAATGCAGATCTGTGGTGTTCTGGCATGTGAGTCCGTAAGTCATCATTTGATACGATGCTTACTCTGTCTTATTTTCGGCAATTGCTTCCAGTAAGCTTCAACCAAGAGCAACAATTAGCATGCACCTAATATGAAATGGATATATACTTTTGCATATATAATAGGTGTATTCTGTGTACAATCTAGAGTTGTGTTTGTATGGATATATTGCTCTTATGGTGCTAACTGAGTGGCAGTTTCATGCACTTTTTGACAGGTGTGTGTTCACTGTGCGTCTGTGAGTGACTGAGCCCCTGCACCTCTGTCGTGCCCTGATTCCCCGTCCCCTCTCCCCACACCCCCAATCCAAATGAAAACTGAGAACACTGCACTGTCCCTGGACTCTACAGCACCAGTTATATCCCATTGTCTGCACTATGTTTAGCTTATAATCTTTATCCTTAATATTATTAATGATTATTATATTATTGCTATTATTATTACTATTGTTATTTTCTTAATTAGAGTTAAATTTAAATTAACTTATATTTTTATACAAAGAAAAATAAAGTTGGCCTTTTTGTTTTGTACAAAGTAAACATAAGATAAACAAAATGGTCTAGACAAGTTACTGTTACCCAGAATAACTAAGGAATGTCTAAACTGTAAATGTATGAGCAGTAGCCAAATGAATTTTATTAAATACATTAAAGATTATATAATTTCTCTGTGGTTTTTATTACAAATGTTCTTTGTCTTATGTCTTATCACATCAAACTTTGGAGGAAATATTATTATGAAAATACATTTAAATTTACTTTAATGAACAAACTAAACTTGTAACCAGGTGCCAAAGGTTTAAGCTGATCAGTAGTAGTTTTTTCCCATACAAATTCTGGTCTGCTCCACAAAATCATAATTACTCATATTTTTATTTTTACTATTTATTTTTGTTCTTTATCAGTTATTATTATTATAGCTTTCACATTTTTATCTACACAAACAACACGACCCACATATTACAGAAAAGTGCTCACAATAGTTTTGAAAGAGTCTTACGTTGATTTGACCTCCAGTTGACATGCGCAATTCAGATTTCCCAGATTCATTTTTATATAGGTCTATCTATTTGTGTGTTGACGACTTCATTATTGACCATTAATCATGTGTGTTTAACTTATTGCAAAAAACAAAAATCTACAGCCCGTTTGCATTTTATCGTTTTATATTTGTTCGTGCTAAATGTTTCTCGCAGAGGTACAATGAACGAGACGCGACGCAAACATTACGCACGGCGGTAACCATGGTGACCACGTACAGAGCAGTGGGACAGGAAAAGTTTGGGCACGTTCACAGAAAGTCCACTAGCTACACATAACCTACAGGTAAGAAGTTTGGATAATTAGATTGCCGTTTTGCATTTATTTTAAGACGATTCGTTTTGCACTTTAGACTTTTTATAATTATTATTTTTCTGTAAATAAATAACGATGGTCCCCATAGACTGCTGCTCTTTGAAAGTTACAGAGAATTCATTTTGTGCTGGCTGTTTACGAAAAAGTTGGAAGCAACATTGTTTGTTATTAGTATTTTGGATTTCCAATGTAATCTATTAGCTATTAACCAGCTAACTAGCTATCTATTTACTCAAAAAGTTGTTTATACATTAACCATGACATTAACAGACATAGGGGTAGTTATAAACCATAATATATACAAAGAAAATCAGCTCCACTGACTTCCTGTTCAAAACTGTTTTTTTTTTTACTGAATCTAGCAGGTTTTCAATGCTTTTTTTTTTTTTTTTTTTTTTTTTGAGACATTTTTTTTACTCGACTTATATGACCAGGAGTCATTTTCTGAGCACTCAAACTTCAAATGTAGAACAGTATAAATAGAAGTAAGCTAATAATAAGGGAACACATCATAAAAGTAAACTTTAGATAAAATCTACTCTTTAATTTCACAATGTAACATTTAGGTACATCTTGTGAACATATTTGGAGATCTCCTTCTTCTACCTTTGGTTTTGTTCTTATAGGCATCATGTCCACCAGGTCCACTAAACCAAAGCCTGGTTCTTTTGGGAGGGACATCCACAGGCTGCTCCAGGCTGCAGAGACAGGTCACAGAGCTGACATCTTGACCTACTCCTCAGGGCATCTTGGGCCCCGCAGTCTTGTCCTGAACCAGCCTTGCCAAGAAACAAAGCAGCCATTTTGGACCACATTCGAAAAACACAGGGAAACTCCAAAACCTTTAACTCCCAGAAAAAAGCAGACAAAGGCTGTGAAGAATAACATGAAAGAATATTTGGCAGAGGTCACGGCAGATTTTACGTCACTTACTCTAGAGCAGGATTCGGCCTTAGATCACCCCAATGACTCCTCTTTTGATGCTGTCCCAAGAGCAAATACATGTTTAAATAACTCGTTTCCCTGCATGAGAAAGCCCCTGCCCAAAATCCAGCCAAAATCCGCTGCTCACAGAAAGTCAGAAAACACATCCAAACTCAGAGGCAGACAGTCTGAAAGTGACAAAGGCCCAAGTAAGAAAGAGCAGACCCAGGACTCTCAAGAGCCTGTCAAGCACAGTGTTTGGACCAGGGCAAACGCTGCAGAGCTATATGAGAAAAAACTAGAAACAGTAAGTGGGAAAAATGTAGTGTTAGTGAATGTTTTTTCTGTAACAAATGATGTGGTCTGTCCTGTTTAACTGGCTAATTTTAATTATGCATAAAAGACTCAAAACTCATTGTAAAGTTTAAACTAATGACTACTTCATAACTGTTATACCCAAGAGAAGTCAAAGTATGGGATTGTGGGCACTACAACTTTATTCTCTCAGCCCTTTTTTCCAGTGGATGTCATCCTTTCAATATAACTCAAGTAGTTTAGTTGGAACGTTAATAGAAAACCCTGGGGACCCTTTGAGAAACCAAATTTGGGTTAGGGTTATATCTTAATATGCAAAAACTATGCCAAACAACATCTATTTTTCAGTACCAAGGCAAGATAGTAGATAGTAGATCTTTTTATCTGAAATCCATATAAATCCAAACAATAACAATCTATCAGTAGGAAGGTTTAAACACAATACAGACAGATACTTATAGCTTTTAGATTTCATATGAAACACATCACTTCTCTTGGCTGTTCAGACATTAATTTCAGCTCATATATGCTTATTTGATTGTGATCAGTTGTATTACAGCTGATTTTCTGTGTGCTGTGTCACTGACAGGAGCTGCAGAAGCTGTCATCCCCCCACTGGCCCTGCAGAGACCGCCTCAGAGTGTGCAGTGACGTCTTTGGTGATGTGTGCGAAAGCTCGACTGTATTTGGACGCATCCTGTGGGAAATTAAGGTTTTTCCATATCCTCCGCTCTCACTAACACATTTTTAGCGAGTGTCATTAGACGTATTAGAGCCGAGGTGATTGAGTCCCTCGTGCAGCAAACTGAAGTAGAGCAGCCAATGAAAAGCTGGCCGTACTACGTCAGCCAAGGCCCCTGCTTCCATTAGGCCCATTCACACGAGTATGGGGTCCTTCAAGGTTAACTTTTGCATGCTATTGTGCCATTCACAACTTTTATATGCAAATGATGTCATGATTGTAAGCTAAACTCATGTGCTAATGTTTTTCCTCTTAGAATGACTATGACCATTACACCAACCATATGATGTCCCTACTTGAAAACATGGTAACTTTATTGGTATCTATTTATTTGTTTTGAAATTAAAGGTGCAGTGTGTCACTTTTTTTCAGGAAGTACTATTGCTTTACCTGAAATGTTTCATAGTATGGAATTTAAAATATCCTTTTTATCTTTCTATCAATCTATCACGTTACATTATATACCTTTAATTTTTATGAAGATTTACATTTTTAGCATTACATCTGCAGAAAACATCATCTCATCTATCAAACAATGCCTTCATAATGATTTGATATTACCCTTGTTTGTTAAAAATCACACTTCATAAGTTTTATTTATTTAATTACTCAGCCCTCTCAACACTCACTCAAGCGCCCAGGCACGGCGCCCACAGGAGACCTGGAAGCCAAAAAAAAGGATGTGGACTTGTTAGAACAGGAGGCCAGAAAAGTACTAGAGGAAAACAAAAGGTACTTTAAAAATTTGCCAAATCTGTATTGTCATTAGAACAAGGAGATTAAAAGCACTATATAGTCCAATACTATACCAACAATATATGTACGAACTACATTCCTCCCAGTTTTTACTATTCTGCACTGATATTTTCTTGTTTCTTGTACTAAAACTAATTTATTGCCCTATAAATGTAAATTAATGTAAATCATAAATTGAAAACTATGGAATTCATAGCTTTAACATCTGTTTTTCCAGACTGAAAGCAGAGTTACAGACCGTCTTAGAAAATTCATGCCCTGAAGACAAAAAGATAAATGGTATGTTGATATTTGAATCATTAGTTACACATAAACTGTATATTCTGATGCTGTAGGAAATGGCACATGATTACACTAAATAATTATATATTTCTTGAGAAGACAGACTGAACAAAAGCCTACATTGTCAAACCAACTTTTTATTCATGATTTCAACCCTCCGGCATCATCACTGATCCACAACTTACTTATATTTGGTGTTAATGTTTTTGCAGATACAGTGTTGTTGTCTGAGTTGGACAGTGAGAATGCCGATGGCTGTGATACTACTGCTAAGTCCAAGAGGCGTCAGGTGTCCCAAGTTTGGACAGAGATCCAAAAGCTGGAGGAGGAGCTTCAAGACAAACTGGTTTCTACTGACATAACTACAGCCATTGAAAAACGAATCAGAGCCCTCAAGGTACAGAAAGATAAACTCCCTCTTATCTGCAGTATGTGCCACTTGCAGCTATGTTGAGTCAAGATAGGAAAAAGTACAGCGTATCTATATAGCTTTAGGTTATATGTTGAATCATAATACAAGCACTTGATACTATTTTTTATGATCTCAGACAGAGATGATGAAGCTCATGGTTTCAAATAACCAGCTAGAGATCACCAATAAGGCAAGAAATTGAGTTTCTGTGACTTTTATACAATCAAATATGTATTTATTTATTGGTATATTTCATGTTGCAGAGTGAATTATTATAACTTTTAATTTTAGGATCTTGAGGATAAAATCAATACTATCTTGCAGCATGAGAAGCTAAGCAAAGTCATCAGACAGTACGTTTTGGTTGTATATTTGTAGTCAATATTTTTTTTATTTTTTATCTTTACCTTTTATCTTTTTATCTACTTACTAATGCTCCCATGTGTTTCGTTGCTAGGAGACTATGGAGAGAAATTATGCCAAACCTGTGAAAACCTGTGAATGAAAGTTGGCTGGCTGTATCAGCAGAGCCAGTCATGCCATGGGAGGTTTGACACAACTAAGACACAAAAGACAATGAAATAAAACACTACATTATGTTATTTATTGTAATAATTTGTTTTTTTACAACCCCTGTGTATGTTACTGTTCACATGTGTACAGTCATAAATACACTGTGTAAAGTTTGATTACAACAAATCCCTTTTCCTGATTCTATTATTTGATTTTAAATATTTATTAGGACAAATTTAGAGTTTGATTGGACTATCTTTCTTCGGATGCCTTGCAGTGAAATGGCATTTTAAGAGATTGCGGTTAATGTTTTAAACACAAGAGGGCAGCATTGTCATACAAGGAATTCTGTAGGTATGATTTTTATATTGGGTCACTTTATTAGATAGGCAAGTTTTTCATAATTATATTTTTAGTGTACAGTTAAGTTTATTGGTTTCTTATAGTATATAACCACTGTCAATGCCACATGTGTCTGGGCTCCATGCGCATATCAGTCCTTAACAATTGTGATGAGGTTTTGTCCATTCAGACACTGACTAGATTAGAGGAATCCAACACGACAGGCCTTCCCTCTTCTGATTGATACTGAGTGACCTATGCCCCCTACACAAGAGATTGCCTTGCTGTCTGCCTGAGCCAATTCAAAGGCCAAAGTCTGGATCTGACACAGTGAGTAGCGCTCAAAATGTTGTTATGGTTCACTGTCCGACTTCCTTTCAGCCAGCTCACTACTTCAAAACTTGTGAGGGCTACTTGGACTGTCAACATCTGTCAACATGCTACTCCGGACCTTGCTGTTGTTTCTCTGTGTATCCTTAGGTCTATGTGCTACTTTAAGCCTTATGCACATGCAAGCAAAAGATGAAGATACTCAAGACCCAACTGCTGTTTTGGACACTCAAGACCCAACTCCTGTTTTGGACACTCAAGACCCAACTCCTGTTTTGGACACTCAAGACCCAACTCCTGTTTTGGACAATGTAGTAGAGGCTGTGGAAGAAAACATACAAGAAACTGAAGCAACCGCAGATGAGAAAAACAATGATGCATCTCCACCTGAAGAAGAAAATGGTCTACTTGAAAAATTAATGGAAAATGATAAACAAATAGAAGTGGACATAGAAGTACCAGAAGATGTGAATGCTGCTATAGAGGATAAACACACAGAAGTGGACAAAGATGTACCAGAAGAAGTGAATGCTATTATAGAGGATAAACACATAGAAGTGGATAAAGAAGTACCAGAAGTGACAGCTGCTACAGAGAATGTGGTTCCAACTCAGGAGGTTGTGACCGATAGTGACAAAATAGAAGGCATGGTAGAAGCCAATGTGGTTGATGCTCCAATTCAAGACCCCCTTCCTCAAGAGGAGGACAATGAAATCAAGGCTATTCAGGCAGAAGAAGTCCCAAAAATGCCAGAAGAACAAAGCAGCAGATGGAGCTTTAACTCAATCAGGAGCAGTTTCCAAAATATGAACGGGTATTTTGACTCTCTGGTGGAGCTCGTAGGGGGGAGAAATGGAGTGTGTGAGTACCGCTGCAGATATGGTAAGAAGGAATCATAATATGTACTTTTTTGAACAACAACTTACTCTTACGTAACAGCCCTATGTCATGTCAAAACACAATTTAATCTGTGCAATGTATCTCCTTACCTCAGTGCCTCTTTAACCTGGATATAATTTATATTTATTATATTTTATTTTATTCTACTTTACCATATATAAATCTGTATATGTTTGCATTAATCAACACAAATCTTTAGTTAGTCTGCATCGATCATTGTTTTGCAGTTTGAATTTATTACGATCTTCTATCTTATGCTCTTTGTTATTATATTGTAGCCTAATGTCGACAGTGAGCTACAGTGTTTTCCCTCGTGGATCAATAAAGTTTAAGTCTAACTGGATACTGTTGCGCTTATCAGAAGAGTAGGGGTTGTTACACAATCAATACAGATGTTCTCAAACAGAAGTTACATCTTATCTGTACACTGGTCCACACTTCAGATAGTACAGATTCTTTGGAACATTTACACATACAGCTCTATATGTCCCTGTTGTGTTTTGTAGGAAAAGTCCCTGCCCCTCGTCCCGGATATCAGCTCCCAGAGCCCAACGGCTGCAGCTCGTCTCTGGTGGGATTCCAGGTGAATGCTGCTGTAGGTTGCTTCTCATCACAGCTGCAGCCCTTTATTATGATACATTATAATACTTTAAATTAAGGTTTGGTTAAGAAGAAAAATAATATTAATTATCCAAAGATGAACAATGCATATTTTTAATTGCTGCTTTATACTGGTTGGTCAGGCAACCTCCTAGAGGCAATACCTCTTTAACAGCCACCAGTGCTTAGTATAGTGACAGATAGTCTTAAAGGTGCATTGCACAACTTTTCTGGTGGAGGGTTCCCTATGTACTTGTCTCCATGGAGATGTTATTGCTTTGCATGCAGTGTACTATGGTATGAGATTAAACATATTCATCTAGCATGTGTTCATTACGGGTGTTTCTATTGCTCAAAAATACCATAATTCGCTTTCAGAGTAGGGGGCGACTCTCCACAGATCTGAACTGTTATGGACTGTAGTGCTGTAACTTGCTTGTCTCCCTCGTGATAGATAAGTTTGATCTATACTGTGGAACATTCTAGACAAAGAAATAGCATCTCCATAAACACAAACAGGTGTCAGATCTACAGTCTAGATGCTAGATGACTTAAATTGTCATGCTGGATTATCAGGTATGAACAGTCATGTTTTAGAATAAGTCCTACAATATCCTGACACTGATTTTAGATTGAGAGATTTGGTTGTCATTAGCATATATATTACTCTAGTCTCATGTCTATCCATCCAACCCAATATCAAGTGTGTAAATATACCCCATATAGATTATTTTAGCTCTTAACCTCAATATCCATAAGAATGCTGTACTGAGACCACATAGTGCTTTCCCTTGACAGCTGGACCTGGGGATTCCTGCCATGACTCAGTGCTGTAACCAACTGGACACCTGCTATGACACATGTGGCACCAGCAAGTATGACTGTGACTCCAGCTTCCGCACCTGTCTCCACGGCATCTGCTCCGACCTCAAGAAGAGCCTGGGACTGGGCACACAATATCAAAGTACATACATACACCTGTAGAATACTTTGCAGAGTATAACATTGTTATAGGGTGGAAATAACACTCTAACTAAAAGAGAACGAATGAAAATGAAAACTGTAAAATAGCCAAGCCATGATTCACATTTTCTTGGTAACAATATAGAAACAGGGCTGCGTTTATCCCTCGTTATTGTTACCATGTAAAACCCATCCTAATACTAGTGTAAACTAGTTAAAAATCCACTATGTAACTTTTCCAGCTGGGGGTTTGCAAACTGCTTGTCTCCACAAAGATACTATTATGTTGCCACCAATGTTACATGGTATGACATGGTTTGGCAACTTGTTAATTTCCAGGGAGACAAGCAGATGGTGTCATCAGAGGAAATAATAGGTCAGATTAGAATGTATGGTTTTCCCAGTGTTTTTGAGCAATAAAAAACACCACCTTTGTCTTCTTTTTTAGCCTGTGAATCAATGGCAGATGGACTATTCAACACAGTTTGGACTCTCGGTTGCAGACCCTACATGAACAGCCAGAGGGCGGCGTGTATCTGCGAAGAAGAGGAGAAAGACGAACTGTGAGGAACTGAAAGCACACAACAGAGACACTGAGGTATAATGTAGCAGTAGTTCCTTCACTGGTTCAAAGTGTGGGAACTGAAATGGACACAAAACAAATATACACATCTGAAAAGTTGTATAAGCTTTATTTATGCAGTATCTTCTGAGTGTGGCTATGAATATTAAGTGGCCACTAAGGCATATTCCACTCTCCATTCATTTTCCTATGACTCCATTTACATAAATTACTTTGACTCCAAAGTGTGTCTGATGGGAAGGATATTATACTTGGATTAATTTCCTTTTAGATAGATTATTAAAACAAGTGACAAGTTCTATGCTGTTACTTAACATTTATCAAACATAAACTGCTGTCAACATTTATCAAACATAAACTGCTGTCATGGAGATATTTAGAGGCTGATGTGTTAGCACTGAATGTACGATATTATTTTTAGTAAGTAAATTATTATATAGAGATTATATTAAAGGTGCACTATGCAGTTTTTTGTTATGGAGGGTACGGAACCTGCTTGAATGCATGAAGATTATTGTTTTACTGGAAATATTTCACAGTACAGTATAACATTTTCATGTCTTACTTTTTCGTAGCAGGTATTTTTATTGCTTTAAAATATCTTAAAGATTATGTGTTCTTACTGTGAGCAGAGTTGCCTCTCCACAGAGGTGACCTGTAACTGGATGATGTAACCTGCTTGTCTTAATACCACAATGGAATTTTCAGGAAAGCTATAATGTATATATGGAGACAAACAAGGGGCAGACCCTCCACCAGAAACACTACATGGTGCACCTAAAATACACTGTTATGAAGATGAATTTGTCTTGACTACAAAGTAATAAATTTCAGTATATGATATGGACTGCTATGAAATGAAGCAGCATATTTATACATTGTCAGTCAATGATGGGCTAAAATATACAGAGCTTTGACAAATCCATTAAATCTTTAAGATGTGGTGGCCCAATCAAGACTGAGAAATGTGAGTGTGACCTAGAAAACATCCCTCATGCTGTACGTGTTACAAATGAACTGCAGGCCTCTCCAAATGCTTTCTAATAGAAATGTCATTCATTTTAATGTCAGTAAATTATTCTGTCAGGCAAAGTGGCAAAGACTCACAAGCCGAGGTTGCAGCAGTCAAATGGCAGTAACTGATGCTGAGAGAAGCAATGGGAGAAATAACTACACACACAGTTAAATGGACTTTTGATGGTTGTGTATTAAATGTCCAATAAACTGAATTGCCTGTTTATTCATAAGCATGGTTTGTTTTTCCTCTGCGATTGTTGTAGTGGCATTTGGCTTTGCTCATAACAACATCATCTGTGCTCAATATTACTTTACACTTAAAATGACTATTTTGTAGTAGTCCTTACTAATAGCACATATTAAGTACTTTACACCATCTCAATCCAACAGTCCAGTAAAAGCAAACACAGCTACTTGTATTATTGGTCTGAATTCTATAAAGGCTTTATCCGGTCATATTAGCCTATAAAATACTATTATCAAATGTCTACTGACTTGTATAGGTGATTGTATTTGTCTCTACGTTTGTTTGTTTTTTTACAAGAAAGACCTGATGTTTGTGGTATATATTAGCAAGGGTAGTATCAAATAGGCCTTTAAAAGTCTGAAAACTTATCAAGAGAATGCTGGATCCTGCTTTTATGGTATTAATGGTGTTTGAACGCAGCACTGGTTAGGCAGAGGGTAAACCCAACCCACAGAGCTCAATTGAGACAATGTTGTCCACTACTTTGCCTCATATTTCTTGCTGTTGTGTCTGTCTCATGGTCTGATGAAGACAGGCCCTCCGCTCACGGTGTAGTGCTGCTGGAGGCTATGTGGGGGGGCCTCCCTGCGGACTCGTCCCTGACACCGCTGAGCGCAGCGAGCGTCTGCAGCTCCGCATACCAACACCTGACAGTGCAGGAAGACTTGCTGCAAACAACAGACAATTTTGGTTAAAATAGAAATAGAAGGTAACCCAAGCGTAATACTGCCTATAGTAAGAGCCCACACACTCATCCCTAACAGCAGGGTTCAGAGACTTACTTTGTTGTCTTTGCCAATGAATTTGAACACGGGGACCTGGTAGTGTTTGGAAAGCTTGTCCTTTGATGAGTATTGGATCACAGTTTCATCAGAAATGCACCTGAATCAGAGCCAGAAAGAGAGATTACACACCCAATGATAGGTAAGGCAGCAAAAACAATAGTAAACAAAGTATACTGTTAAATACTGCAATACTGTATTATAAAAGGTAAGCACTGGTGGTCAGTGATCTACAGTATAGTTCCAGCAGTGAGCTGTGGAGCCCCATGGCCTTCAATCATTGTTATAAAATTGTGAAAATGGATTATAGACCTGCCCTGTTGGTGTCTGCAGACTGGCAAAAGAAAACTCACTCTGATAAAAGCAACAAAATGGTTTGAGCAAAAGTGTCGGCTCCCCAGATAATAAGGTAGTTGTGGAGGAGAAACTTTTCTATTCCTATTAATCATACCATAGGCCCAGTGGCTTTTGGGTTTGACATTTTCTCTCCATAGTTGAAACTCTTTGGCCTGTAACTAGCTTTTAAGAACACCAAAGATAAATCTGATCTTCTGACACCCATTAAACACACCTAAAGCTGAAATTATCCTCAAACCTACAACTGCAGGATGCAACCATCCTATTGATTTGTTGTTTTTCATAAACTGAGGTAATACTCTAATGAAGTAAAATCTGCTTTTGTTTGATTTGTGTATAATGGATCTTGGCTGTGAGTTAACAAGAGCCCTGACAGAGCTAATTGTGCCTTTGGGTTAGTTTGTACAGAGATTAAATTAAACACCAATTTATTGTGAACAGCATGTATACTGCATCTGAATTTATTCAGTGCAATAAAATAGTTAAAAATAGCACATTTGAGTTTGAGTCTGTGTTTTTTCTCCACTTAGAAATAAGAAAGCTAGAGATATTGGAATAGAAAAATTACTTTGGCAAATTAGGAAAGTGCTAGACATACTGTAACAGAGTTGAACGTGACATTTACTTGTGACAAATTGTATTGATTTCTGGACACCTCAGTGGGTTTATATAAGAGCCACCCAGTCACCACATAGTTGTAAGGGAACTGGAATTTTAATTGCTTTTGTTTCTTTTTGTATCAGTAAAGTAGCTGTAACAGAAGTTAGTATTCAGACCAGATTTTCTGTCTGGTTAAATTGTGACTTTTCTTGACCTCACCCATCTTTAATGAGGTAGTACTTCAGAGCCTGGTCTGCTTTGGGTCCCGGGGTGGCGAAGCAGCTCTCCACCAGCGCAGACAGACCCTCCAGTCTCTCTTTGGGCTCCACTCCGAAAAAAAGGGTGTCATGAAGCTGGAGCTGAGGAGGGCTGTGGTACGGCTCTGAAAACTCTGCATTTTTAAACAACTCCAAGGAGAATGGGAAAACGCCTTCGCTGTGTCCAGCCAATTCCAAGTCCGAGCTGCGCAGACTTGCCTGGTACCCGTCTGAAACCTGGTACTCCCGAGGGAACTCACAAGTGACTGGTAGAACTAACTTACTAGTGCGGACAATCAGGTCTCCACTACTGCCCGGGCTGCTCTTTGGGAGGCCCGTTACCAAGTTGGTCCCCACTATTTTGTCATCAGTCACCTAGGAAAATGTATTTTAATTTATTCCATCACAGTAAGAACACTTTTGACATTTAGTACCTCCTGATGAAATATGTCCACCTACAGTACTTGCTTTTTTTCTTCTATAAAACAGGATATAGAGAGGTATAGCTACTTTTTCTGAAATAATGAAATGACTATTATATGAGCTACTGCAATAAAAGCCTTAAAGGGGATTTTATTTTTTGATTTTCCTTTGAACCACAATGCAGAAGAGTCACTTAGTACTGTACCACTCAAGAAAGTTAGAAACTTTCTTGTGCCACAATTTGGAAACTGTTCATTTTAAGACATAAAATACATAAAATAAAGGTCAAAAGAAACATTGACAAACTCACGAAACCTTAACCACGAGTTTGTTATTTGTATAGACACTATAAAATGTCTTACTAGTCTCAACTTAGTCTCTGTAACTTAAATCAAAGCATTTAAAGGTCCAGTATTTAACTTTTCCAGTGCAGCTTGTCTTCATAGAGACACGAATGCAAAGGATGTTCCACAGTATGGCATTAAAGTTTTTAATCTCCATGGAGACAAATAGGTGGCCCCACAAGCCCGAGTCACAGGTCAAATCTGTTTAGAGGTGACCCCCACTCGTGGCAAGAATGCAAATCTTTGAGCAATAAAACACATGTAATTAAACAAACAAAATAGGTAAGTTTAATGCTGTGGAACATTGCTATATGTTTTTCTTGGATTTTGAAGCAGCTTTATATTTATCTATGAATGTGACCACATCTATAATGCCCAAAGAAAACCTTGAAAATGTCATAGCTAGCATTTATATGACGCATGTGTTTTTCTACTGACCTCCACCACTGTCCCACAGGTCTTGAGACTGAAGCTCAGGTTGATGTGTGTCCCATTGGAGACGCCGCGGCATGACGAGTTGGACAGGAAGAGCTCCAGTCCCCCCACCAGGTCTTTGGGTACGGACACAGTGATGGAGCTGGGGTCACACTGCACCGGTACTACACACACCCACACACACACAAACACACACACAGGAGAAGATGACAGGTGCTGACAAAGCTCTGTGTAATACATTCAAGCATATTCTAGCCCCACAGATAACTTGAGAATGCGCCTGTCAATACAGTAAGCTACACCTGTCTGCTGTCTTAGCATTTTCACAGGGAAAATTTATCTTTTATCCATAAGATCATTTTTCTTTGCAATGAAAGCAGCTCAAAAATGTAGTTGGGAGTCAATTTCATGCATGTATTCTTTGCTATGCTATGAGCTGGCCAAGGTATTGTTAGTAAGTGGCATTTTAGACATTTTAATTTGGTGTCCTACAATTGATCAGTAGTGGACGAGTTCCTGGGGTGAAATTTTTTTTTTCATATTGATCCAGCTACATTCAACATCCACAAAACCATTTTTATATTTTCTTTTCGCAAAGTAAGTAAGTAAGTAAGCTATTTTAATACAAGTAACAACTACCTTTGAGGTACATTGCAACTTCTACTCTCTACTACAACCAGAGTGGGACATACCTGAATACATGTGCAGAAAATATATATTCATAATACTAGGCAAAGGAGAAATTCAATTTGTTGACTGGACAAAAGTTTATTTGGTTGAATACGTTTAGCAGCTCATCCAAGCTCCTTCTTCAGTTCTGGCCAAACACTGGTGGACACTGCCTTATATCTGCAAGCAGGGAGGAGCCAGCTACAATGAAACTACTCTGAAACTAACACACCTACTTGTTTTCAGTTTCTGTTAGTTAGCTAGGCCTATTGAACTTGCACTGAGTGTGGGGTCTTATTAGCATAATGATTCAGGGCCATAATGGGGGACTTTCACACCTCTGGTCCGAACCTATTGTTCCCTTGTTTGTTTTGATTTAGGTTTGAAGATGGAGTTGTACTGTAAATAGGAGATGGATGGTGTCTTAGTTCTCCATTTCTGTTTAAAGAAGGCTTCTCTTTCTTAACAAAATAGCTTTGTTAACTCTCCTCTCAAACCAGTTCTTTTCTCTGGCTAGGATCTGTACGGCACTGTCCTCAAAAGAGTGGCCCATGGCTTTTAGGTGGAGATGTACAGCAGATTGAGGTCCACTGCGGCTCTCTCATTTGTGCTGGTACATCCTCTTGTGAAGTAGCTGTTTTGTTTCTCCAGTGTAGCGCTCACTGCAGTCTTCACTACGCTGAATGAAGTAGACCATATTGCTTTGTTTGTAGTTCGGTGTTTTGTCCTTTGGGTGGACCAGTTTCTGTCTTAAAATGTTTGTAAGTTTGAAAAAAAATAAATAAATAAACTTTTGTCCAGTCAACAAATTGAATTTCTTATTTGCCATGGATTCTACCTGGACAACTGAGGGATTTTTCACACATTCATAATAATTTTGAGTACCTGTATTCCAGTCCAGTTACTCTCTAATTTGGAAGTATTTAGAATACAGTTACTTTTTTACATTAAAAGGAATACAAAAGTTGTTGTAATTCTATGTCACATTTTTTAGACTATAATATAATGCAACTCAGTATTCCAAAGTTTAACAGGTATTCAGAATACAGTACATGATAATTATGTTACAAAACACATTTTTCTATTCAGTTTTATGTGAATAAATACATTTTCAAAATATTCTTCGTATCACTAACTACTGCTTGTTTCAAAGATAATAATAATCTTTTAATTGCATATTTTGAGGCATTATTGCAATTTAATAGACCTGCATCACTATAAAGTTGTAGACTGGTGCATATTTCAGTCCCTGTCACACACTTGGACACTCACCCTGACAGGTGTGGTTGTCCTCACCCAGCTCCAGTCCTCGGGGACAGTGACACTGATGGCCGTCCTGCGGTGTGGAGCAGCCGTGACTACAGCCTCCATTGTTAACATGACAACCTGCCATCTCTGTTATTAAATGTATTATTAAATATAAAGTCACCGCATTAGAGGCAGCACAGTGAGTTTAATTAACTGCCGTATTTTAATCATCAGTACCTTTACAGTTGAGCCCATCCTCCGCCAGCACCCGCCCAGGACCACACTCACAGCGACGAGAGCCTTTAGTGTTGGCACAGAGCTCTGCACAGCCTCCATTGGACACCTCACACTCATTCACATCTGTATTTGAGAGGAACACCCTGTCATGTGTTATAATAGCATATATCCATTTTCAGTACGATTATTCTTATGTTTTTGTGGAAGGAAATTGGTAGTTTATTTCTGACAGGTCAGGCAGTGTTTTTTGTTTTGTTTTGTTTTTTTAAATATATAACCGCATGTTTGGTTATGTATTTATTAAGCTATTATTGTTATTGTGCTCCTACGCAAGACACGTCACCCAACCCACCAGTTTAAAAAGTTGTATGACTACTAAATGGTGCATGGACAAAATATTAATTAGTTAAAATCTAAGCTTTTATAATAGTTATTAGAGAAATTATGTAACATTGTATAAAAACAGTATTATTTTTTAATTTCAAATACCATCAATGCAAATCTTACTTCTGATTCTCCTGTGTATATTTATTAGTTGAGTAACTTTGAGTAAACTTTGATCTTTTTTATCCAATATAAATTTATAGTATATGGTATATGCCACTGGTAGTAGGTTATGAAGTGGGCACTCTACCAATTACTAAATGGGCCACCGATCACTATCAGTCCTCATAAGTGAAAAGAAAGTTTGAGGTCTGTACTCAGCGTTTCAGCTCAATGAAGAAGATTGTGAAATTAAGTTTAAAAGGCAGTGAAATACCCTCTGGGAGTGGTTAAAAAAAAAAAGATAGATGGTGTAAAATGAGTATGAGAGCGAATGAGGAGGTGGAGAAGTGGAGGCAGTAAATTGTGTGACAGGCCGAGGTAGACCGAGTTGATGAGTGAAGAATGGGATAATGGCATTTTTCAGGCTGGATAGGTCCGCACTGCATGGCTGTCACCCGTCATTAGGCAAACAGGCTGCAATACACAGGACTCAGACAACATAATGTGAAAATAAATACACAAATAGATCTAGTATGAGCAATTGGGGTCAAGGTCTGGATCAATCAGACATACTCAAAAAATGTCTTAACTGGAAGTAAAGTACTCCAGAACTATAGAGGGACAGAGGAGCTCATTCCCCAACAGGCTCTGCTCAAACAGCGAGAGATACAGGATTACAATTAACCCATACTGCATACAATTGTACAATAATGCGCCCTTATGTCATAGATAACCATATGTCCTGTCAATCATTATTTTATCTTTGCACTGTTTCTCCTTACGACCTCTTGTATATAGCTGAGATATATTTCTATATCTTATTTTTACTTGTACATATACATTTAGATCATTATACCTTATTTGACACTAGTCTCTTCTATTTTTACTACTTATTTAGATTTTTTTTTTAATTACCATTTATATTTTTGAGCTGCTGTGTCCAAATAATTTCCCTAGTCTAAGTCTAAAACATGTTAATTGGAACAACTAAAAGTGCTGATAGTCCACTTCCATACAAATTAAATATTGCTGGTAAACATTTTTCTTGAAGGCTTACTTCTGTTGATTTAGTTTTTAATTAGCTTCGTCAAATGCATTTAGTGAACAAATTTAGAGACTTGGCACAGTTTTCTGTCTTGTTGAATTGCCCAGGCAGCATAGTTTGATGGAAATTGGTTTGGGTCAATTGTGAGTTTGAACAACAATTGATGGGTGTATGAATATAAACAAGTGAAATGAAATGACACTGATATAATTTATGGTTTTGCTGGTACAATAGTGTCGCCACTGAAGACCGTAATTCTGGCGTTCCCAGAATGTATTTGTCTTATCTGTCTCCACTCTTCCTCCTCTTTGTGTCAGTCTCACCAAGGCATGTTTGTCTGTCTGGTCCCAGGACGGTCCCTGCAGCACACTGACATTCAGGCTGTGAACACATGGGGCCTGTGCACTCCACCTCATCACAGATATCATAGAAGTCTGCACAACAAAACAAAAATGGACAACGGTCTATTTGTCTGTTTGGAACTGTCAATCTTCTTTATTTCAGGCTGGTGGCACATTATTGTGAGGGTTTATGTGCATAACAAGTCATTGAACATCATTTCAGGGCCATATTCATGTCAGACAAATATGTAAAAATATGCCTGCTCTTAAGGGGCCCACTAATCTCTGCAGAATACAATTTAAGCAGTATTATTGGTGAGGCAGTAGCTAGGAGGGAGAAGTTATTCACTTAGCAAAAAGTTGGTGGTACAATCACAGTCCTTGGGCAAGACATTTGTATACTCCTGTGTAGTGAATTCCCTGTAACTGTCAAGTGTGGAGTGAATGCAGTCATTTTTAAAGGGTAAAAAACGTGTTTAGTAGTTTAGTAAACACTCTATATTCTCCTAAACTTTATGCAGTATTGTAAAAGGTACGCAAGTTGTTCTAAGTGCACAAGCATGAACCAAGTTTTAAGAAAATGTTAAAGAAATATATTGGAAATTGTACATTATTATATTTAGTCACTAGTTATGCATTGTAATTTAATGGATATATTATAGTTAGTGTTTATGATGTAGTATACTATGGAACAGGACTGTATGAACTTATGTGTGAACTTTTTTTTTGGTATTATAATGAAACATTTTATTGTAAATTATGCGAGAATGAGAGCCTCGCACATCAACTACTAGAGACGGGTGCGTTGGAGGAGAGGGAGCAGCCCCAGAACATACAGAAAAATCCCGCACACCGTCTTACTTGCAAACTGTGAAATTTATTAGGACAAACCGTGCAACGTTTCGGCACTAGGCCTTCGTCAGGCAAACAGAATGAAATATGTATCCATATATTCTTCTTACTTTTCTAAAATTATTCTATGATCGTTATATGATGATTTCATTATTATTATTTGTATTATTATTACACTATATGTTGACTGTCTTTGTTTTTTGAATTATGGGGTTTTGTGTGCACTGTTTCTTTATGACCTGTCACCCTTGGGTGCTTGCCACATTATATTCCCTATTTAAAATGGCCACCTGAGCTCTCATTCTGTTTGCCTGACAAAGGCCTAGTGCCGAAACGTTGCACGGTTTGTCCTAATAAATTTCACAGTTTGCAAGTAAGACGGTGTGCGGGATTTTTCTGTATATTGTAAATTATGTCAAATTGGACCCCAGGAAGAATAATCCTTACTCAGTAAAGACTAAAGGGGATCCAATAAATAAATAAATGAATGAATAGAATACTTGTAGAAAACGTGCGCACACTTACGCCCGCAGTACACGTGGAAGCAGACAGAAGGTTTGGGCAGCCGGTAGACAAAGTACCCCCCAGGACAAGCCTTCACCTCCACGGAGGCGTTCCAGCGGCAGCAGTCCCTGTTAAACCCCAGTCATTTCTGTTTTTCTGTTTTGATAGTTCTATTTGGTCTAATTTTAAGACAAAATCGTGTGTTTTTACCCATTAAAACTGGCACACACTGACATGCTCACCACCCCGTCCTGCAGCTGGGGGTGAGTGCCATTGAGCCAGATGGGAGCGTGTGTGCCACAGTGGTTCTCTGAGATGCAGAAGGTGGGCATCGCGTCTCCAGCCATCCCAGTGAAGCGGTACCACTCCCCGGACATGTAAGAGTCACACAAGGGGGTGCTGTTAGAGGTCTGGTTCACGTGGTACTCAGAGTTTCTCCAGGGCTCATTCAGGCTGATGTAGGCTGAGCAAGGGTCCAGGTCTGAGCCTATTAAGCAGTAAAAACATTAAATAAATAACTGAAAGCCACTTCATTTATTAGGCCACCACTAAATATTAAAGTTTTGTTGTCATAAGCGTGTTACAAAAGTTTACAGAGGAGAACTTTTTGAATGATAAATCCCAGGGCACTGGTTAAACAAATTAAAATGTGCACACAAAAAAATCCCTCAAAGTATTTTAAACACAAATGTGGATTTAATAGGATATGAAGGCTTGCATGCTTTTAAACAAACATTCAAACAAAATTCAATTGCCTGACAAGGGCAGTTCTGAAGGTTGTGTCCAATTTCTCTGATACAGTAGTTTTCGTTTTAAGTTTGTTTACTAGCAGAACAACATAATGGTGCATCCAAAATCTATTTATTGGGGGTAGAATAGTGGAACCTGTTTTATCACCTTGAATTACCTCTACAACAATACCTTCTATTCACAAAAAAGTACTCCGGCAATTTTGTCCCGAAGACATTAGCAGCTTTATTTTCTAATTGCTGAATCGAGTACAAAATTGTACAGCCATAACCCTTTGTTTTGTATTGTCATTGTTTGCCCTCCACTTTTGTTCACTTTGGGTAATGGCTCAATGGTCATTCCACCGCTCATTTGGACAAGACCAGTCATTGTCATTGTCATGTCCCTTCTAATTGTTCTAAAAGCTGTAGATCCTACTTACAAATGACTGTGTACTCGAGGAGATTTGTCAGTGGTCATTCTTTATCTAATGGCAGAATCAAGAAAAACAAGCCACAGTAAACAGAGAAGGTGGAATTGATGGACTGTGCTTCAATGTAATTAAGAACAAGATCTAAAACTAAAGTGGATTTCGGTTTAGGTTAAATGAGGAGATATCGTGGAAGAGATTTATAGTGAAAAAGAAATAAAGTATCTTCAGTGACAAGATGGTGCCAGGAAACATGGCAGGACATAACAATTTACAGCTGGTTGAAATGACTAACATAAACAGTAGGCAAGGCTTTTCCATTTGGCAGAATATAAGTATGAACAAACACATAAGATATAGATGTATCTTAAGTTGTGTACTTTGAGATCAGAAGTGGGATCAAAAGATTTAGGCCTTCTTCATGAATTACCCAAATTAACAGTTCTATGCTGCCTATCAAGCATTACTTGACTGAAACTTTAACATTACACGCACTTACTATAATAGAATTTCAGACTTAATTTGTGCCTGCCCTAAGCCTGCCTAAAAGGAGCAGACATTTGGCATTAATCTGCATCATTAACCAACATAACTCCACATCCTGTCCTCTTGTTGTTCACTCTGCGCTGATATAGTACATCTTCAGGTTGTATATGTTAACAAAACTAAAATAAAAAGCAGTACTAGGCGCAGTGACAAGATTTAGTTTGGTAGATATATGGTTGTAGACTGAGCAGAGCTGTAGTGGTGCAGAGGGCAGGGGCCAGCGCTGACTCATGTGGCTCTATGCTAATGCAGTGTTAAATCTTCCAGATGGGACTGAGCTGTAGTCAGAGAGAGAGAGAGAGAGAGAGAAAGAAGGAGAGAGGGGGAGGAAGGGGGGAGAGAGAGAGAGAGCGTGGGTGTATAAGTGTGTGAGTGTGTGTGTGAGAGAGGAAAGAGCAGTTGAGACTGACCCCAAATACACTGGCTGTACGTGTGAGGCTGAACCTGTCAGAGTATATAATATCATAATGACAAACTGATCTAGTAATTTAAGTTGAGATGTATTTTATATTATCTTACATAAGCCAATTTTAGAGCCACTTTCATTACGTTATTTCATTGTACCAAGTATGTAGCAGACTAATTAATGGGTTATTAGTCTATAAACCAGTTTGACTGTGTTTTTACCTATTTGTGGTATAAAAATGATAAGCATTAGCAGTAGTAATAGTAGTAGTAATAGTTTTCAGCACTAATTTCGACTCCCTCTTGCACCTCTCACATAGCCACAGTTGCCAAAACCATTTTAAATTGACTTGTGTTATCTGTGCAAATGAAAAGCTTCTTTTTAAATGAACTATATTGTAATGCACTATTATTTAATCTTGTTAGAGACACATTTTACCAAACAACAAAACACTCATGTCAGTTTACACCCTTCCATTACACAGCACACTAAAAGCTGAAAGCAGAGCCACAGATGCAGATGTCTCCCAAATATGAGAGAGACTGGGCACCCAAGGGACCACATGACAAATGAATGTAGATGAATATGAGCGTATTGTGTAATTAAATATGAAAGAATGACTTACCCGCAGCTGGAGCCATCAAAAGTTCCTGAACCAAAAGTGATATGGACAGAAGTAGTAGCATGTTTACAATCTAAGTTTTTCCGTACTCCTTCACGTAAACACCGTCTTATATAGGCAAGTCTTATCTGGGTCATTTTGTCCATTTTACCTTGACCCCGCTGGACATGCTGATTCCTAAAACTAGAGCATCCTCTCATTGTTCTCTGTCTGTATCTGCCTTCTCTATAGTCAGGGCATTTGATGTAGACTTCAATAGATCAGAACTACATGCTTTTGCAGGATCAACAAAAGCAATATCTAAGAAATACAGCTGAAACTACATTATCCTGTCTTGTCTTTATAGCACTTTGCAAGTTTCTCAAAGCGCTTTATATTGAAGTATTCATTCACTGCCAAAAGCTCTTCATGTTGTATAAGAGTACTACAGAAGCCACAGCTGCCTTGGGGCTGACTGGTGGAAATATCACTGCAGATCTACGCCACTCTCATACCACATTCACGATGGCAAATAAATAACTACATTAATCTTATACTATTTCTACTGTAATGAGGATGATCCTTGTTTATGAAATCTATTCGTAACACTTTATAATACTTTAGTTAGCCTTATTAGTGACTTTAAGTTTAAGAATGATTACTTAATTAATGCACTAACTCCTATTTTCAAACTCTAATACCTAAATTAAGTTACGAAGACTGAATCATTCTTTAAAAAATTATTTGTCCATTATGAATCTTATCTTCATGCTTTTTTATGGCTGTAAACACGCAGTTAAATTTCACGTTAAAGGTTAATGCAGACTGACCTTAACTCTATTTAAACCATTCTCCACACAACTGTACAACACTCGTCTTTATGTAATAGATAACCCTATGTCCTGTTAATCATTATTTCATCTTTGCACAGTTTCTCTTATGGCCTCTTGTATCTAACTGAGATATATTTGTATTACTATATTTGTATATTTTATTTTTACTTGTTCATAAACATCTATATAATTGTGCCTTATTGAAACCAGTCTCTTGGTTATTTTTATTTTATTATTACCATTTATATTATTGCTCTTATTATCATATATTGTGATGTTTAAGTTACTATGTCCAAATATTTTCCCTTTTTAATTATCAATACAATTTGTCTAAGTCTCAAGAGATTTTGATGTAAAATGTTATAGCCTTCCTTTTTATATAATGCTAATCTGGACATCTAGACCAGTGATGTACAAATATATTACTTGACCAGTGGTTGGCAAATATAAATGTTGTGTTCAGACCTGATTAACCTGATACTGATGATGCAATTAAATCAATGGAGACATTAATCTACAGGCCTGTTAGGAGAAATGAGCTGGAACATGGGATTTTCCTTTTGCACTTACTTCTGGAAATAAGATATTGTTTCCTTTGGGCTTTGTGGGTCAAGTGAGCAAAGGGTGAGTCACTCCGTACATTACCCTAATATCACATCAAGCTCAATGGCAATTTTGAATCCCATTTAACTCATTCACTCTTTCATTTTCATCTTATTCCCAGTTTTCCAGTGCTACAGCCCATTCCGGCGATGGGTCCTCTGGGTACATTCTGACCAGTTAGTAGCAGGGATGGCAATGAGTGAAAGACAATTATTCTCAAATGTATTCACTGCAAGCAATCCAGCAGCACTAGCTTCCCTAAGGAGGTAAGGTAGCTCAGCTGTCACTATATTTCCTGCTTACAAGACAAGGCTGTATTTAATTAAGAAAGACTCTCCAAGTCATATGCTGTATCAAGCTCAGTGCAAGTCCAGGTCACATCTGGCTCTGTTTAACACAATATAATGATTTCTGTTGGTAACTCTAAGTTCAGTGAGTACAGACATTTACAAATGGATAGTTTTTGACTTATATGAATTTAGATCAATAATGTTCTCATGATGATATAATCTGTTTTGGTCTTGGGGGTCATGAATGCAGTGGTTTTCTATTGGTGGAATAGGGAGTTCTCTATCACTTTATAATAACTACATCATAAAGATCCTATATTACACTTTAAGCTTTAAACCATTTTATAATGTTGTTACCCCATCAAAAACATACCCTGTGTTGTGTTCTGTTTCATTCAAACATGCTTGAGTAATCTAGTCTCTACATTGCTCAAAACTGTGACATCTCACTCCTATAAACTTCTTTATACAGTTAATGATTTCACAAAAGCTAGAAACTAACTCACTGTTTGATTAAATACCTGTGAGTATTTCTAAATAACGTAATCATTACAAATGCTTCAATATATTGTGTTATCAAGGCAGCTGCAGTTGCTTTCTTTTGCCTTCACCCACCTTCATGGACTACAAAGCCCAAATGTTTGATGGGAAATGGAGTTCGATATGTTTGGTGAAACGTGACGCTCTGCTGCTCTTTCCTCTTTCTTTATCTCATCTATCTACTTTCATATCAACATAGATGCTTCAAATCAGACAGAAAAGGTCCCTGGTGTTGTACAATACAGGCTCATGATTGATGTATGATCATGATGAGCCACCTCCAAGCACACTTCATGAAACAACAGTTCAGCTTTTCTTTGTGATTTTGTAAAAGTCAAGTCTCTCGAGACTGGTAAAATAAAATGTTTTTCATATTTTATATATTAATAAGAAAATGCATGTATAGATTCAGGTAATAATACAAGCTGAACGAAATCTTTACATATAAAATACACTAATCAAGCAAAAAAAAAGGACATGCAAACAAAAAATATTATAGCCCCCTGACTCTTTAAATATCCACTCCCAGTTTATGCAAAGGGTCTCAATTTGTTCTCTTCTGTATTTCACAAAAAACAAAACATTTGATTGGTGTGTGGTGGTTATTGCGGAATGGGCCACACTTCACATTCAGCCTGGATGAATGTGAAGTGTGGCTCTTTCACATTCATGTAGAAGAAGCAATAGAAAATGAAAATTGCCAGTACAGGACTGGACTTGACTGATGAATGATGTTATAATATTTGTTTACCTAATGTTTTTTTTGTGTAATCTTGTGCATGTATTGAGTGTATAGAACTGAGAAGAAACAGAATAATATTTATTTGTCCTTAACTTAACTTAAGGACAAAGCTTAAATGTATAAATCAGATGTTGTGCTTACAATTACTTCTCCAAATATTTTTTTTAACTCTAACTTCAGTATTTCTTAATGTATAATATTACTCAGCAAAAACAAATATGCAAGAGTGTAAACCTCTGTTTTACCTCCTGCAACCCTTGGTCCTTGACATTCTTGGATATAGGGGATGTTATCGCTATCTGGCCGGCGGCATACTGCCACCCCGACTCTTCCATGACAAAGGTGGAGCCGGTTACCTGAGAAAAAACAGAATAATTATAGTTTAACAACCTATTTTTACCCAACTCTTTGTCTAATCTACTCCCATTTTACTACAAACTGTGTGTATTATGCCACGTATAGGTACATAGCATATGTTAGGACAAACTTTTTTGATCCAATACGTTTCACAGCTCTTCCAAACTGCTTCTTCATTTCTGGTCAGACACTGGTGTGGACACTGCCTTATATCTGCCTGAAGGAAGGAGCTAACTACACTGAAACTACTTAGTGTAGTTAACTTTTGTCCAGTTAACAAAATTAAATTTCTCCTTGGCTGTGGATCCTACCTGGACGACTAACGATTTACAAGGACGATCTCGCTTCAACTACATGTGTTAACTTCTATTCAAGTATGTTTTCTTTCTGAATTTCACTTTTTAGCTGTAGTTTCTGTTAAGGAAATCACTGGTCGGACCCAAATATGTAGAAACCAAAAGTATTTATTAACAAAAATAGTCTCTGAAAGGGGATAGGTCCCAGGGGAGGCAGGACGGGTCCAGGTTGGCTATAAGCAGTGTTGGGAAGGTTACTTTTAAAATGTAATCCCCTACAGATTACAGATTACATACCCCAAAATGTAGTTGGTAACGTAATTCATTAAATTACTTAGTGAGTAACGTAATCTGATTACTTTGGATTACTTGATATTGTCATGTTTTTTTAAACGACATGAATGTAGCAACCACATCCTGAAAATTCTTGTTTGTTGTCTTCAAATTGTCTGAGCCCAAGTCTCCATGAATAAGCAACTGTTTGCTGTAGAGAAACAAAGACCACGATATCTTAATATAAGAGGTTTTGTCTGTTAAAAGACAGTAACAAGATAAGCCTTTCCTTAACCATATTAAAACATATTATTGATAGAGAAATTATTTTTTATATGAGATCACCTTAAATTATGTCAACCTACTGTTAGGTGTCATGTTGTTTAGACCTGGTTTAGTCCTGATTTTTAGACCTGGTTTACTCCTGATTTTAGACCTGTTTAGACCAGGTCTTTAGTTCTGGTTTAGTCGTGGTTTTGTCCTAGTTTAAACCTGGTTCAGTCCTGCTTTAGTCCTGGTTTAGTCCTGGGTTAGTTCTGGTTTTAGTCCTGGGTTAGTCCTGGTTTAGTCCTGGTGTTAGTTCTGGTTTAGAGGCGCACAGGAGGAAGTGCGGTTTACGCGAGAAAACACGGTCCACACGCAGCGCACGAGACGGCGGTGTCCGCGCCTGTAACTACGGAAGGAAACGTGGTCTGCGGGTTCTCAGGTTAATGACGATGATGAAGGTGTGTGTTTGTGTGTGTGTGTGTGCACGTCTACTCATGTCGCAGGTCACTATAGGACAGTAGTGCAGATATTATGAGTCTATGCAGGTTGTTTTCACCAGTGCCAGTAGCTCCTGTTTCACATTTAAGTTGTAGGCGATTTATATATATATATATATATAATATATATATCTCACATCGGGAGAAGAATTTCCAAGACACAAATGCGTTTTTACCAATGTACTGCTGCTTCCACTGTGTGACTGACACCGCTAACTTTAATATGACGTTTACGTCGCTCTTACTGTCGCGTTCTGTTTGGGTTTCCAACAATGAGTGGAATTACCGAAATAAAAAATAAATAAATGGGATGTGGCACAAAATGTGAAAACAGGAAAATACCGCCTTGTAATCCACTTATTTCAGCAACGTAACTGTAATCCAATTACCACTCATTGAAACAGTAACTGTAACGGAATACAGTTACTCATAATTTGTACTCTGATTACGTAACGGCGGTACATGTAATCCGTTACTCCCCAACACTGGCTGTAAGTACGTGGTATGTGGGGATGAGGCTGATCAGAAGCTTGCGGAACAGGTGGCAACGGGATGAGGCTGGCTCCAAACGGAAGAACTGAGGAACGGACAAAAGAAACAGGTAAGAATAAAAGTTTTCAGAATGCTCAAAAACACACAAAAAAGCCTGAGTAGTTCACCACTGGCTTGACGGAACGATCTTGCACTGGAGAGCAGGTCAGCAGGTCTTTTATTGCAGGAGATGATTACTTGTCGAGGATCAGGAGTGGAGCTCAGCAGGTGAGTGATTGGGGTCCGCCCAGGAAAAACCAAATAGGGTAAGGAGAGAAGGCGCAGGGAAGGGAGGGGTAGGAGGGGCAGGATGAAACCCTCACAGTTTCATATCTTCTGCCAAGTTGAACCTCCATCTTTGGTGCAGGTGACACTGAAACAAGTGATGGTCCATCCTGAAACAGAACAAAGTTGCTCAGAAATGCTCTGAGAATATGATTTTGTTTTTCTGTGAAGTTGTTTCATTGCTTTGTGAAAAGTAAAGCATCTATTTTCCTATTAGTGTATAGAGAGAAACGCGCACACGACTGCTCGACTCAAGTGTTGGTGTCAAATTGAACAGATTTTTTGTGGTACTTTTGTGGAGCAGCAGTAGCAGGTTTCCATGATGCTGGCGTGATAACATCATTCAGGATTCTCATTGTATGATTTGAAAATTCAAACTCTCAGACCATAAGAGAACTTACTTAGCTGGATCTACAACAGGTGAGCTGGTTTGCTCTGTGTCATTACAGTCACAGGGTGACTAGCATTAGACTGCAGTTTTTCAGTTTTCACTCTCACCATTTTTGTTGAAAATTAAACTCCTAGACAGAACCATAAATGCTTGTATTGACAGTCTCCTGAAAATGTATAAAGGCATTTTGTGTTTTTCAGACAATCTTGAAGCTTTTTTGGCTTTGTTTGCTAATGTGTGCATTGTGTCACCATGGTAACTCCTACACGTTCCACCATTAGAGATACATGTCGAACACCCTCAGCACAATGCCACTGCAATAATTATGACAACAATACCCATAATTTACAAATATGATGGAGGTCAGTGACCGCTCACTCTGTCTCTGACCATAGAAAAAAGGTATGTGGTAATTAATGATCTCACATAAAATTGTTTTTAAAATCTGTTTGTGAAAACATCAGCAAAATACCTTTCCTTTCAAACCATAACTTGTACTGTACTGCGTATATATAACAGGGTGGAAATGCACAAGCACTTTTGCAGTGATTTTGTTTGTATATTGATTGCTTTACTTGAATGCTTTCATTCTGAAACTGCTTGTAGAAGCTCAGGAGGCTCTAGCAGTTATAGGAATGAATTTGAAGCCAATAGGAATCGGAATTGATTTATGGACAAAATAGAGAAAAATAACAGCAACACCAGGATCATGTAGAGCTGGCTATATGAACATTTACAGAGAGAGGGTCGACAATTTTTCAATCAAGTCACCTGGAGCTGGAAGTGCTTTCGGCTCACATCCTGTTTGGAACGTGGCTGGCAAGCTATGTCCATTTAAACCATGGATCTACGATGTGTGCTTGTGGTTTTACTTCCTGTTTTTACTTGCCTGATTGTCTATGGTAAATGGTCACATTTTTATATAGAGCTTTTCCACCTTCGAGGCACTCAAAGCACTTTACAACAAGGAACCACTCACCCATTCACACACGCATTCACACAGCAGTGTACACAAACACTGGGAGCGAGGTGGGTTAAGTGTATTGCCCAAGGACACAACAGCTTTCATCTGTGGGAGCTGGGATCACACCAGCCAACCTGTGGGTCAGTGGATCTGACTGCTCTAACAATGATGTCTCGCCAAACTTCAGATTAGTAGACAAATGCTCTTACCAAGAGACCTACTGCCATCCTTTTTTTCCACCCAATCAGAGAGAGACTGGTATTTTATAAGCAACAGAAGAAGATCATGGACCTGCCCTAGAGAAGGAGCTGTGGAGTTGGACGAGCCTGAGAGGAGTCCATGCTTTTAGAGCCTTTTAGCTTTTTAGTGAGAGTTCCTGACCTCTTTTTAAAACTAAGTGGCAACTAAAATATTTCCAGAGCTCAGAACATTGGGCTGGTAATCAAAATATAGCATATATGCTGGGTTACCATACCAAACTCTGTAAATGAAACAATTGCAGGTATGTTTTTGAAGAAGTAACAGCATTTTAACATCGCTAAAAGCTGAGTTTTCATGGCGATCTATCTCTTGGGATGTCCTGCGCAGGAAGCACTGAGGCAACGGAAACTGATTAAACATCCCAGACCTTGAACTTTCCTTGTAAACAGTTGTTGCGTGTCACTGTTTAGAGCAAAAAAAGTGCCTGAGCAACTGTCTCCAAAAACTGGATAAGGATTTTATTGATAATTGAATTACATTTCTCTTTTATACATATTTCATAAATGATACAGGATTTTACATTTTTATTTTTTGCCAACATTACAGCATCATATGTCAACAGAAACAAACAAAGCCAAAAACATAATCAAGAGGTCAGAATGGAGTATTATAAGCTTGTGTCAATCCTATGATCAGCTTCACTCTTAGGCATTTCTCAAACATAAGTGCACATAAACAAGAAAGTCAAAAAACACAAAAAAAAACAAAATGAAGTAAAACAACATGGATGAACCAGAGAGAGGGACATTGTGAACAAGCGGCGCCTCTTCCTCTGCACTCATATCAGGATAGTTATGACTGAGGTCAAAAGGCCAAAGTTCCTCAAGAACCGAGAGGATTATGGGAGTAAACAAAAGGATGGTTTTGGTTGGCTGGGATTGAGTCTGATTTTGGCAGGGCAGAATCTAAAGGCAAACCCTGTCTGCTGCCCTTTTTATAATAGAACTAGGAATCTCTACAAACAACGTTCTTAAATTATCTTTGCAGTTTTTTGATAAATCATCTTTTTTTTGTTTCATTTTTTCATATTTTTCCCATGTAAACATACATTCATGCAACACCCTCTTTATAATAAAGTTCCCTATATTTGATATATTTAGTTCCTTTAAAAATAAAGCAAGAAAATAATTAAAAAGGCATTAACTGGTGGACGATGTGATAAAAAGGAGGAGGTGGCGATGGCAAAGAAGTGTGAGGGGAGGACTGGGCTGGTCTCACCTCCTACATGAAGTCTCCAAGGAAACAGACAATTTGAATGAATAATAAGAGAGCATTTCATCAGAAAAAAAAAAAAAACTGCTATGAAATGGCACGAGAATAGAGTAGTTAGTTTAAAAGCAAAGCATTTGTGGTCATGACAGAAATGCCCACAACAACAAACACACAGTAATCAGGCATAACATTGTGACCACCAATCTAATATGAAATACACTTTATATTCTGACCACAACGTAGGTTTAATATTTTGATTATAGATTGAATTTTCTTCCTACTTACACCACATTAGATACTGAGAGATACTGGCCACGGTAGAGTAAACACACAACTGCAGATTTGTCTGATTTTGCTAATATTTTTCTTCTTTAAACGTCCTATATTATACAATGTCTTATAATGTTGTTATGGATTTGTTTTGATTAATTTGCACAGGTTTCAGTAATCCTACATAGTAATCCATAAAGTACAGCATTAGTAGACTTGTTTATTAGCTCATACAACAAACTACTTACAATTTCAATACATCACCACATACACCTCTGTTTCCATTTGGTGGTGCTTTTTGTAACTACATGGTATGATGGAGAGGTGGCTAATGGTATCTTCTCATATTTGTACTTCTAGAAATACAAAGAATATGGTGTAAAAAGTAATACAAAAATAAATATGCTTATTTAATGCCCTTTAACACATCAAGTTTGAATAGCACGATTGTATATTTGCTTCCTAATACAGTCACTTTCCATGGCTTCTACCTGGCAATGGTCATAATGTTATGCCTAATTTGTCCTATAAATATGCCATTCCGAATAACAACAGATTCCTAGTATTCCTACTGTCATCAGTTTGCTACATTGTCTACACACCATTGTAATTATTGGTCGTCTAAAAGGCACCATTGCACACACACGCAGACGTTCAAACACATTAGGCTAAATCCTAGCTGGAGATCTGCATGGTTAACTTTGAATTGAACCTATAATCATGCATTTAAATGGACAATTTGCAGTTACACACTATGATCTTGACTTGTAGGATTTAGCCTGCCGTTAACACAAAGCAAATGGTTGATGGACTAAAATCATTGTGCTGTGGTCATGAATTGCAATTTTGGAGAGAGAGCCAGAGAAAGGTCCACCAATCCTCCCCTGGACTTAAACACAACAGAAATCTTGGATATGGTCACAGGTTAGGCGATGAGACTTCAGCTTGATGAGGCAAATGATACGTGTCTAGTTGAAGTACAAAATTTGCGATAATGCTCCTACACATTCACAATTTTTTCTACTGAGGGCATACCACTGCATGCAGTCTACCCTGCCTGGCCATCAGGGGGAGCAGGGGGCGTAACAGTGGAGGGAGAAGACTCTGGACGTCCTTTGAGACTGAAGCCGTGGCACTTGTCGTTATGGGTCATGAGAGATTAGAGAGATGCTATAAATAGTAATAAATGGTGGTAATTTCAACATCTCAAGAGAGAAATCCTTATAATGAAAAAGTCAAATTAAAAGGTAGATTTATATCAAAGCTGTGTGGTCGTTTCTAAAATGAGCCACAGAGATAATTAATCTTCTAGAACCATAACAAGCCTCTAGGTGTGTCTGGGTAAACAGCACTTTTCATTTCAGTGTGCTGTGTTGCCTTTCGATATTAAAATTCATCAGAGGATCCGTATAATTATTCAAATCCCAAGAAACGTCTCCCTGATGCCACCTAAATGTCACTAGCTCCTTAGTGGGAGTTGAGGAGCTATAAAGTTTTTAAGAGTTTGCTTTATGTAGTAGAGTTTGATGTGAAGTTTGTCAGTGATAATTTACTACCAACATGGGTACATCTATAAAGCTATTTTCTTATAATAATGCAATGCTTAAAAGGATGTAAAAGGAGTTTGCATTTATGACAGAGGAACAAAAATAAAAACGCAATGACGTTTATTAGAGCTCCTCCCCCCACTGACAGAAAACTAGCCTCTGGTCATCTGTTATTTGATTGTATACATATATATTTATATTTATATATTTATATTCTTTTCATAACAAATATACTATGGCTTTCAAATAAAAAGTGCCAAAATATTTTTTGGAATAAAAGAACACACAGTGATGTTGTTGTCGGTAGTACTCTCATACTTTAGGCAGAACTGCACCGCTACAGGATATCAACAGGAAGAGGAAACGAGGCGACATCCTGGAGGTGAAAGGGCAAAGGTCGTGGCTTAGGGAGGAGGCAGCAGAGTTTAGCCACAAAAACTAGGTCCTCGTGGTGGACAACTGCAGTCAGCCCAGCCTTCGGACCGGGCCGGGACTTCTCTGTAAACTTTAAAGTGGGACTCTCCCTGAAGTCGGACCAATAGTAGCTGCATGTTGACAGTTCGACTACTACGAGCAGAAAAGTCCTTCATGATGCACACTCCACTACAGTCGCCTCTGAATGTCCTTTTGAGTTGCTTCCTGTGTCTCTGTATTCCCTGCAGACCGTTTTCCCAAAGAGTTGAGGCTGCTCCTTAGTGCCAGTTTAAATCCATCTTCACCGTCATCGCAGTCGTCCTTTTTGTCATCCTCCTTTGGCTGTGAGAGATTTTCCTCACTATTGTTCTGCAGGTTTGATAAACTGTTTTCAGTCAAGAGATTTAAAAGGGAAAATGTATCAGAAGAAAAACTCCCACAGTCAAACAGGATGGGGTTTTTGGGTGTGGAAAGCAAGGGAAAAGTAAGAGAGTTTAAGGTTGGGATGAAGGAGAGAGGAGGTAAAGAAAAAGGGGCGTTTGGGCTAAAGGGGCGGGGCTTCACGGTCTCCATCAATTTTTACTGCCACTGAGCTGCTGGATGGGGAGCTGGAGCTGCAGAGGGTCCCGCAGACGCTTTAGATCTAACTCCACCTGCAGAGGGGGAAAAAGAGACAGATTTACAATCACACAAAAGCATAAAATGTGAATGAGTTCAGGGCTTGTCAGAGAGGGAAGTTTCTATAATTTTACGTACTAACACTACAACTACTGTTACTTTTATTACAAAATAAAATTAAGAAACCTATTTTGCTCACATATGCATCTACGTTAATGATTCTACCACACAGTAAGTACTTTGTATATATGTATTTTTTACAAAAATGTGATGATATTAGTTTTCTAACCATGGTCCATGTTCTGCGCTGTGGAATAATAAGTAGCTTATGTCTAGCACTTTTGTATGCACACAAAAACCCTCTGTACCTCTGCGATATCATCCTTCAGCTTGTTGTATTTCTCTATGTCGAAGCGTGTCCTCTTCACCCCCTTGTGGAAGAACAGCAGATACTGTCTGTCCCTGGCGTCTGGATAAACGTACTCCTACATTTCAGAGACACAGCACAATGTAAGAGGATCCAGCTTATCAGACAGAGACTTATATTCACTCAAAATGCATAATCCATGAAAGACAAGGACAATGGGGGCGGTTGGTTACCTGGCGTGTGAGCACAAAATAAGCATACATGGCCATTGCTGTGCCGTATGTGATGAAGTAGGTGACAGGCTCCATAATATCCCAGGAGTACTCCCACCAGGTGAGCCTCGCCAAGATTCCAAACTGAGTTGCCATGTACGCCATCCCGCCCCATAGCACCCAAGTGGTACGCCGCTCCGCCTTCTTACTCAACTCCTCCCTCACCTGCAGACAAAAACATAAGTAAGCTTTTTTAAACCATCATCTCATGTTTAAGAAAATCAATAAGACTAGAACTGCATGTTTTAAGGAGGGAAAAAAGCATTGACATCTGAGGGAAGAGTGTAATAAGAACTGATAAAATAATTAAACAATTACATGATTTACAGATATTGTTAAAGGTTGAAAAATGAAACGGTTGGTAGTCCCTCCCATTTTTTCAATAATAATTTTCAATAATATTTAGTTGTTTATAGCAGACATTCTCTTGAATTAAATAATTGCAGCTTTTGTGATTTTACAAAATATTATTATGCAAATTTAGATTTTGATTAAGTTGTGATATATTGTGCAGCCCAAAATAAAGTATGTGTACATGTGTATGTGGTACTTCAGTTAGGGGTATATTACATTGAGCCTATGATAATCTTAAGAGACTGTTATATCATGTTTCAGACAGAGCTTTAATGTAGTTTTGCATGTGGTCTTCTTTTCTTCAGATTCTTCTACTGGTCAGCGTTTGTCATGATCTGAGTGACTCGTCAATTTAACCAATCTCACTGCAGTGAGAACTCTCAGAAGAAGCAGACAGCTTCTTTTAAGACAATATAAAACTATTGTGTGTACGTAAATTGCCATATAATCACATATTATCTAAAACATTTTTTGTCATAGCACCCCTTTAGTCAAATCTTTATGCAGTGTTGTTTTCACAGGAACCCTTAGTTATACAACACCTCTTATGCATCTGTCTGCATATTATAGCATTTCAGAAGAATGTTGAAATACTTCAGTTTTCTGTCTGAGACATGGAAAATAATCTGTAGAGAGCTTTTTAGATGATTACTAGCGCAGTAATTTCATCCATAAAAAAGTGCATTACTGAGGACGGCAGTGTGTGCTTTTTCTTCTTTTGATTCCCCTATTGTTATCTGTGCTTTTAAAGACTATAAAGACTGAACAAGAATGACTTTTTTAAATAGTGCAATAATTCACATATATCAAAGGATTATGTTAACATATTTTTCTCTACTGCAGCAATTCTGTCATTTCTATGGAGGTAATTTTGCCTTCCAGTGTTTCTATCGTGCATCAAAACAATGTATGACAGTTAATTATATTTGAAAAAATATGCTTATATAATTATTTGTATAAAAATAAACAATAAACACACAAAAAATATATAAATATAAATTTGTCACATATATAATCCACAGACCTTCTCGAGAGGGCGAAGTTGAGAGTTGAGGTCTTCGAGCCGTCCAATCAGCTCGCGTTCTTTGCTGAGTTGGTGTTCCTCAATGCGCAGTGTGGTGTACAGCTGCTGCACCAGGAACTTAACATCATTCAGTCGATCCAACTCCTCGTGAGGCAGTAACTCTGTAATAATATAAACAGGAGATTTTGAAATGTAATATTTTTTTAAGTAATTTCATGATGATTGGTTTTGTTTTGTTTGTACCTCTCCTTGGAGGCCGTACGAGGTGTGTGGTGTCATTAATGACCAGTTTGAAGTCATCCAATAGCAGAATGTCAATCCCTGTGGAGGAGGCAACCCGGGCTCCATCTGGACACATGGGCAAGGTGATACGTGACTAGTAATGATATTATAAAAGACACAGTACAGTGAATGTGAGGGTTTTATGTCAGTTTGTTAGTGTTCGTTTAATCATAATTTGGCAATACTATATCAACATCACAGACTCTCAAATTAAGAGTAATGTAAGTGTTCCACTGTTATTATTTACCTCAGGCGCAGGTATATTTGGAAATTATTCCAGAAACAATAACATTCAACATAAAGGAAAACTGAAAGGGTGTAGAATGAAGCTTAAGCTTATTAGGCCAACCTTTCATACCTCGCTGTCATAGTTTAATAGTGTAATATAAAATCATGAGCTACAGTACACTGTGGTCCCCAATCCTAATGAATATATTAAGTGCGTTTTTTTTAATGTTCGAAGATAAGATGTATCCCTCAATAAATCAGGAAAAGTTTAAGTTTGTTTTCTTACTGTAGGTGGTTATAAAACTTAGAAAACAGAATGGATTCTTCATGTTTAAAATTAATATTCCAGTGTAGTATGTGTGTGTGTTAAACTATTGAGCAAAATTATAAACCAATATTATAATCTGGTTAGTGATTGACTTTTGTACCAATTCATTTGAAACACGATCCCAGCTTCTAATTACACATTCTAGAGGAGTTACAGGTGTAGCTCTAAAGAGGGGGGGCACTTCAAACATTCTCAAACTACTTGGCAACCAGGCGTGTTGCCATCTGATTACCATGAGAGGTCAAAGCAGAAGCACCTGGGATGAGTTCTAGTACCCACTGTTCCCGTATAATGCTTCCCTTGAGCCAAGAGGGAGGAGGCATTATTTTAAAGATACAGGCCGAATTTAAATGCACAGTCACAGCAGCAGCAACACTCAATAGGAATAATGACACACTTGAAAGTCTATGTTTATTTGAGCGGTCAGTGAAAGGTGGTTTGTGAGTGGACACTGAAATGCTGCAGTTGCTGGGCATCACATAAAATGATTTCAATCTTAGAGTCAATAATTTTTAATAGACATGCTGTCAAGTAAAAATGACATTGTTTATCTTCAGATTGCTGGTGTTGTATAGAGATATTCAATACAATCAGCACAGAAAACTGGCTCCTGGCTCTTATCTACAAATGTAGAATTATTGCAATGAATAGAACGAAAACCAATACCCAAATCCCATTGCTGAAGGACTACTGCAAAGTTATGGGGAAACAAACTCTCTGCATTGTAGAAATGCTACTTCTCATAAAAAAAAAAAAACAGACTGACTTGGATTTCAAAAATTTAAAAAGTATATAATAATTTCTTTATTTTGGATGAGCAGAAATGAAGCAGTAGATTGATCATTGCAATTGGCTCTGCCATTTTTTATGTTAAACTTTTATGAGCTTTTAAATGTTAAGTGTTGTATTAATGCTCCGATGTTTCCTCCCCATCCCCTATCTCATTGAACAATATTGTGGTTGACATTAAACAAAATGTAAAATCATGATCTACATAAGTTACAGTAGAATACTATATACCATAAAATATATGCACAATAAGTTTTCTTTAAACCCTGGAAGGTTTGCCTTTGTAATTGTTCTCAATTATATCACAAGGCACTTGGATATTCCCCGTGAAATATAGTCTATTTTTTCGTACGTACCCATGGAGTAGATGGCCACACGGTCGATGCCTCTGTCCTCTGCCTGAAGCTGCTGCAGAAACACGCCCACACAGTCGCTCAGTGGCTTCAGGGTGAACTGACAGCGCTCTCGTCGGGACGGCAAACTGACCGAGATCACCGGCAGCCCGTTCTGGTACACCACTGTCACCTCTGCACAAAAAAGAAGAAATAAAGGATAAGGAATCAGGAAACAAGATGACAACTCATTGGCACATAGGGCCTGAGTTTGAAACCAAGAATACCTTTATTCAAAACACCCCAGGTTGGCAGTTTGATCCTAGCTCTGACCAATTGTTGTGTCCTTGAGCATCTTGACCCACCTTGCGTGTGTATGAATGTGGTGGAATGATAGATTGATAAAATTGTAAACTGCTATATAAAAATTGCTCAAATTCATTGTGTTATTGTCCTGTCTTTAATATAAAAAAATAATAAAATAAAAGAAATATTTAAAAAAAAAATTTTAACTGAAAGCCCCATGTGTGAAACAATCTCAAATCTAATTAACAGACAGATACTTTACTGTCCCGAAGGAAATACATTTTAATAATAATGCCCATGTTACAACAAAGCTTGAGAATGAATTTTATTTGCATAGTTTCTCCATTTGTAGAAGCAATGAGGCCATTTCCTGAAACACCTGCCTACACACAGAGAAATGAGGCCTTTATAAAGTCTTTAGTAGCCTCCCTTCATTTGTTTGGTCTAGACTTTTCAGTGCCTTAATGTGCTTCTTTGATGATTGTAAGCTAATATTAAGCAATTTAGCAGTTGGCTGTAACCCATTAAAGAAAGTGCAGAGAGACTCCTCATTTAGACTTAATGTACAAATAAGTCAACCCCTATAGACTATACAGTGACCTAAAAACACTGTATAAATCCCCAATGCTCACTCGTTATCTTAAATTATAATATGCTCTTTTTATAATAACACCATGGAGAGTTGTTTGTACCAGCAGGGGGCAGTATGGCAGCAAAGGCACCTGTCAAATAAGGTCAAGCTTCAACATAGCCAGCATGAGCTCTGAAGAATTTAAACATCTTGTGCCAAAGACTGTACCTCGCTCTACTAGCTTCCATCTGTTACCCATCATGCACCGTTCCTACACATGAATGAGCAGCTCTCTCAGGTATGTTTAGCCATGTTAGCACAGTTAAAATAAACACAGTATTTTCAACAGTCAAAATGTACCTAAAGGATCAGTTGAGAATAATACTTTTTTGTTTGGTCCACCCATAGCTAAAAGGATAAAAGCATCCCTAAATGATGCATGTGTAATCAAGCTGACTCATCAAATACTGGGGCAAGCATCAGCATTAGTTTGACAAGCGTTTGGCAAAATATAAATACTAGGGTTTACTCCCATTGCGCAGATTATGTAAGAGATGGTAAAGTGTTTTGTTTGTAGCTTTTTAGTGTTTTTAGCTTTGTTGGTGAATAGCTGAATAATTGGTGCAAGGTGATAATGCTTCAAAATGTACTACTATTAGACAACTATTATAAATCATATGCACATTGGCAAATATCTGTCTTCTAATAGGTCGCAGTCTCGTCTTTGATTCATTTGGTACGCCTCTCTGTTTAATGGCTTGAAACCTGATGAACGTAGTCACTTTTATGTATGCTGGCAACCGTACCAATAGTACTTGATTCAAAAGCATTAGGTTAATTATTTTTAAAAAGTTTAATATTTAGAAATTTAAGCTATGTTCCAAAACTGCCATAAAAATACGTACTTTCAAAGCCAAACATTTAGGTAATTAACGCTTCACAGACACTGTTGTGGAGGTCTATTATCAGCCCTCATACAGTATATTGAAATTATGGATACTTTACCCCAACAGGCTTTATGATTTTTGTTATACAGGGTCCTTTTGAAAATTATTTTTGAGTCTTTATAGTCCATATATCTGCCAACAATTATTAAAACAGTCTATTAGTCATGATTATTCTGTTTATTTATTGCTGGTCTATAACTCACTCCAATTTATATCCAAGATCGGTAATGGCAAGAGAGCAATTACAAGTATTTACAATTTCCCTGTCCCAGCATTAAACAAAGTGAAACTTAAGTAATCGCACAAAAACAGCAGTGTGTACAAAAAATCCAAAAGTCTGCCTTGTTGCTTGGCTAGTGCACCCGGTCACCTCTGTCTCTGCTCAGGACCACTGCAGTGAATCAGCAGATCTGAGCTGGGCTCCTATCACACTGTGAAGGATCATCTTTGGCACGGAGAGCCAAAGCGACAGCCAGCCTCACTTTCAACACGACAATGTACAAAGACTCAGCCACTGTCCTTTCAATTGACATCTCCTGCTGCAGTGTCAATCTCCACTCTTATGCCCAGTGTACAGATTGTCCCCCTGCCACACCTGCTCCCCATGACTTTTCATTTCCTGCTAAAAGATATGAGGATCTTACTGCTATCTCTCATCCAATCTTACACCTATTAAAGCTCAATTTAAAATCAAATCAGCATGGCCAGCACCTCCTCAGCCCTTTCTTTGCGTGCTGTATTCACTCTCTCTCCTTCTCATCTCTGTAGACGAGCAGATGCCGCCCCTGAAACAGATTCCTTATTAATGACTGCTGGCTGTTACCGCCAAATGAGCCCGCACTGATCAATGCAGAATTACTCTGCGGTGCAAAACTCATTTGTTTGGGATGGGGCAGATGTTGGAATGAGGGGTTTTCTCTCAAAAAGGGAAACCCATGTCGTCCAAAGGAGTTACCTCAGGGATTACAGTATCTCAGGGGACCAGTGCAGTTGTTTGTTGTGATAATGTGATATGTGTAAATAGGAGGGTTGAGCTTACCTTCTGGAGCAGCAGAGGTACACAACAGTCTCTGGCCATGCCATGAGGGGGCACCCTTCCAAACCTGAAAAAGAGAAGGCAAAGGCTTTAACAAAGGCAGTTTAAAGAACAAAGCTCAAGTTTTGTCATTCTGAGCACACATCTTTAACATCATAATTAAAATAAAAACAGGACATTATATAACAATATAACAGTTGCATTATATTATACAACTAATATGTTCTAATTATTTAAAATAAATCACCATAGTAAAACAAAATTTTCTGACTTACAAATGTAAATGGACACTGCATCAAATAGTGGTAGACACTTAACATCATAGTATATTATAATTTAGTTTTTTACATACACAGTATAATATAAGTATCTGCCATAAGGGGACGTTCATCCAAATGTAAAATAGAAACCACAATACAGGGTGGAAGGACAATGTACACAACTCATCCATCATCCCAATTCAAAATGCCTAAATTCCCAAATAACTAGAGCTGTAAATCTCCACAAACCATTGCCCTAATCCATTCGAAGCATATTAAGTTACAAAATGGCTTCCTCCGTTAAACATGTTTCCACACATTGCCACACCCAGAGTTCAGATTAGGAGATTTCTGTTTTCAGCTTCCTACCCATGGAAATAATGAACTAACTCATAAAAGCACAGACGGTTGCTCTCTTCCTATTTTTACTCTTGTTCAAAAACAAATGAACTTAGAGGGAGACACAACGGTGAGGGAACAGCCAAAACAGCTTGCAAAACCAATATTGTGGTTTAGTATAAAATCTTCACTTGTGTTAGAGGAGAGAGGGAGAAAGAGAGGGAGAAAGAGAGAGAGAGGAAGGATGAGAGGAGGAGGAGGGAGAGAGGAGCAGAGCAGGGCTGGGGAAACCCTTTTCTATTCTGCAGAAGTAGGCGGGTCCATATGCGGTTCACATGCTTTAAATTACAGAGCACGTCACGACTTTTTCTATCAAGTCTCCTATCAAAGACTTGCACGAGCTGTCAGAAAGCCACATAAAGGAAACACAAATCAATAAAACAGGAAGGGTGAAGAAATAGCAATTTGATTAATGGTTTGTTAAGACTGAACAATCTATAATGTGAAAAACAGTGAACGCTGTTATTTCTCCCCATCTGCATTTATACAACTAATCGCCTACAAAGATAGATCAACTGTTGTTTCCTGAATGTAGCTCCTGGTCAGTCCAATATCCAATGCACTCTAGATTACATGTGAAGCAGTGGATTCTATGGCAACCAAAAGCCATGGGGTTTAAAAGTCAATGTACATATTGTGGCTGTTAGCTTTGTCTGTAGCCTAGACAAAAGATTCAGAAGGACATTGGCCATAAAATGCAAATGAAAAATCTAATCTGTGCTCATTTATAGAGCATTGATTATTTGCTAAGGCAATCCCAGGAAAGCAATGCAGGACTTGGGCATTATAGTCAAACGCAATATGCTTCATGCAAATGTGCATGAGTGTGTGTGTGTGTGTATGTGTATGTGTGTGAGACAGTGCATGATATTTAATACAGGGCATCTCTCAGTTCAGCCCTTAACCTAATATGACTGCACCACAGTGAGCATAGCAGGCCTCCCCATCGCTCTACTACTCTCATTCACTGAAGTGCAATTGTAATATTAGATTTCCAATACTCACAAACATTGACCTGTGCTCAATCAAACCACAACCGCAGTGAGGCAAAGCACAATGTTGGCTAAGTTAAATTGTGAAACCACTTTTTCAAAATGGCAGGTAAGTGTCTGTGTATATGAATCTCTGTTGCAGGGACTAGACGCCTGCGGAATCTGAAGCACTGACCTAAACTGTGGTTTAATCGGTTTGGCCACGACAACGGACAGTCGCGGCAGGCGTGAAATAAAGACAAAGATGTGCCCCTCCAACCATACCCACAGCAAGGACACACAGAACTTTACCTTATATGAAGGATTGGTTTGTTGAGATGGCAAGTATTGGATAACATGCGCAGTTTGTGGCACGATAAAGCAAGTATGATTCTTCTACCGCATTTTCTCCTACTCAGGTTTATCCAAACTAAAAAAGTAAGCACACAATGTGCCTCACAAAGTCCCTTAACCTCCTGTGAAGTAAGGTAAGAGAGGTAGCTAGATGCATGTAACCTTCATTTGTGGCCCATGATACAGTACAGAACAGAAAGGGGATTGGGAATTGGTCAAATGAGGTTGAGGGTAAAGCTGCCAGCAAGGAGACTTTTTGAGAACAACCAAAGTTGATTTCTTGTCTAAAAGAAAATAAAGTTTGTTTGGTGTGAGCAAAAATGAGGCAGGGGACTGGGATGTAGCCAGAAGACTGTCTGTACTAACTCCTGAAGGAACACCAGGGAAAGCCTAACAAGCTATTGTATAGCTGGAGTACATTTAACAACAGCAGCAGTTGTTTAGAGCAACATCACCGGGCTAACATTTCTAAAGAGCTAACTAAAACTAAAACTAAATTGAACTGAACAAACTAGATCCTGTGCTAATTATGCTACACTTGTACATTTCAAAGAATAAAGAAGTTTTTCACATACTACGGGTGAAATGTAATCTTGTAGTTGTGGGATGCGAGTTTTTAAAAAAAAAAACTGCGCACAACCCTGACATGCAGATGCAAGTACTATAAAATATTCTTTTTGCAAAATTCTCATTGCTCTTTTAAAATCTCTGCTCTGGGAATTCACTCCCATTTTGCGGTGAGGCCAGAGGCACAAATTGACAAACAAACGCCAATCAACCGTTCCTAATTAAAAGACACAGTCGTCAATCCCAGAGTCTCACTGCCAATCACAGAACAACAACTCCAGAGGGATGACAAATAAAACACTTACATTCCTTAAGCATTGACAATAATCCTGAACATTATGGTAAATGTGTCAATGAATGAACATAACGCGATGTTAAAATGTAATTAGCGCTGCTGTGCTAACTGGCGTGCTGTCAAACATGGATCCACTGTGCTGACTGTGTATTTTTCCCTAAGAGGAGTGTTCAGAGGCAAAGGAGGACCAGCTGTAGGAGAAGTGGGCCCCATAATGCAACACTGATTATCCACACTCTATGGCAACTCAGTGTGCAGCCAGATGGAGACCTTGCAGGTGTTCAATATTCTGTCACAGCTCCAATTCAAAATAGTATTTGTGCAATTTCATGTCAAGACTGAACGTTTTCGCAACTCTACGAAACAAATAAGAACAAAATAACTAATTATATAACCAAAATTATTGTCCACATTTCTGGTATGACAGTTCATCTTGTCTTTTGGCTTTTCTAATTGGACAAGAGTGTGTGAATCCTTCGCCTCCAAGCCTTCAGTGATTTACATGTTGAATTAGCAGTGGGTATCCATAGTTACCGCCTTCTACATTTGCCCATCTTTGTACTAGCCAGAAATTAACTTGATCCCTTATGGCTAGATAAAGTACCAACGCTCTTTTAATCCATCTAATTAATATTGTGTTGTACAAGTAAACAATGCAAACAAAACAAACATCTCTCAATGTTCCACAGAATGGCATTACACTTTTTATCTCCATGGAGACAAGCAGGTGTCGCCAAGAGGCCAAGTTACAAGTCAGAACTGCGGAGAGGTGACCAAGAATGTAGGTTAACCCAGGTATGTTTGAGAAATAAAAACATAATTGAATAACTGCAAATAGATACAGTATGTTTAATGGAACATTCGAGTCAAAACAGCATCTCTGTTAAGACAAACAGATACCAGGAAGTTACAAACTCCAGCTCAAATTGCATTACAAACTGTACATTTAGTAGCAAATGTGTGCGCGTCAGACTGAGAAAGGGGTTTCCTATGGACTGTATAAGGGAATAACTGCAAGGTCTGCAGTACAAAGCCCTCATTCATTAAGTTGACAAGAGTGGGGAGGGCAAAATAATTCATAACAGTGCCAAACCCTCTGTGTACTCCTCGCGCCTCCATCTGCTCTGGTGACGTAGCATGTTCCTGTGATTCTACTTTTGCAGGTGGCTCATTGCTTGTGTGAGATCCCCCCCCCCATATGTGCATGTGTTGCGCTTCAGTCAGTTCACTAGCGTGTTTGTCGGTGGCAGTTGCAGGAGTGGCCATGCCCCCACCTCCTCTTCCTCGCCACTGAAACACTGCCTGAAATATTTAACAGCGTATAGCAGCTACCAGTCAATAGCACAGCAACCTTGGAATCAATGTCATATAGTGAAGAGGTAGAAAGGCTAAACTTGGCAAGACTGACACACAAGCACGGTTGGAGGAGGCGTTCAGTGTGATGATTAATTGCAGGGAGTTATGGGAGCATTGGACAAAAATGAAATCTGGCGTAAAAATAGTAGCACAAATCACGAGTAGCTCTTGCCAACCATGCGCTGCTACTGTACCCACCCACTTAAACGTGACTGTGCCATGTGCTAGTAAAGAAAAAAATATTTTTTTAAATCACACTGATGTAGCAGGGGAGGAGGGGTGTACTCGTTGCTGATCACTGCAGTAAAGGAATCCCTCGTCTCGAAAGCGGGGTTGCCCATCGCCATCCCCCCTCTCCCTCCCTCCTCCCCTTCTCCTCCGTTCTCGCACGCGCTCTGAATCCTGATCGGGCCAGTCTGATCTTCGCTCAATCCTCATCTGCACTGCGCTTTAACCCACACCGCATTTCATCACAGCCGGCCATGTGCTTGCGTGCACTTGATTTCAATTAGAGAGCGAATTTGTGTCTAGTTACTGCACAGCATGCTGGTGATAAGACACTGTGAAACAGAGAGGAAAAAGGGGTTTCATATTACAGTAGTAGCAGCTCTATGTCTTCCCCTGCTTCTAAACTTCCTGACGTAACACAGTGATGTTCATATGAATGTCAATCAATGAAATATGTGCTTAGGTTTTCAACTAAAATGAATAGCTTATGGAAAGAATATGATCCATCGACAAGCTGCAGTCCAATGTCAATACAGCTTCCCATTTCAGTGTCATATTCCACTGATGTTACACACTTGAAATTTGCAAGATTTATTAGCTCCTCCAAGTGTTAGAAAAACCACTACTCTGAATGTGA